GGTGGCCTCAGCGTAGGTGCGAGGGGTCGGGATGTCGATGGCATCTGGGTCACCCTAAGTGACTAGTAGCATGGAACAGAGATGGGGAGCGGCCTCAGACAGGAAAACGAGCTCGAATTGCCTGTCCTCTAGGACGTCACTGCCAAGAGCAGCCACACCCCCGACGGTCAGAGGGCAGGCAGGGTCAGAGACCAGAGCGGTGGCGTAGTCCAGGCGGCGGGTAGCGGCGAAGTCAGCGACAGGAGTGACAAGAGACGATAGATTCGAGACAAGAACGGACGGTTCGGTAACGAGAGAGGCAAGGACACGAGGAACAAGGGGACGTGCAACACAGAGGATGTCCGAGAACGGAGGCGGGGCCAAAGCAAGCGACGACGGGAGGAGAGGAGGAACACAGGGCGCGTGAGAGCGAAGCAACATAGGGTGAGAACGCGGAACGGAGGAGGTAGGACGAGCACGAGACGGACGACGAGACCAGACGAGAGACGGAGGAGTCAGGTCAAGAGAGAGGGGAGGAGACACATGAGGAGAATGGGGAGGGAAACAAGCCGGAGAGGAGTCTGGGGGAGGAAACGGGGGGGCGTGGACTGGCAGTGGAGAAGGTGGTGGCAGCAGGGGAGGCAGCGACGGGCGGTCAAGGGAAAGGAGACCGAGGAAGCGAAGAGCGGACTCCGTCAGCGACAGCTGCGACTACTGCCTGACTCCAACACCAGAACCTCCAGAAACAACACGGCTCCCTCCGAGAAGCCCCACGCCAGCACCCCCAGAGCCCGCTTTAGAACCAGCACCAGCCCGCTCCCCAGCACCCCCAGAACGTACGAACCCCAGCGGCGGTGACGACGGCGGCTGCGGCTGCGGCGGGGACAGCAGCGGCAGCAACAGGGGAGGTGAGACCGGGGCAGGGACAAGCAGGGGAAGAGACTCCGCCGAGCCGCGAGAGTGAGCGGACTCCTCAGCACGGACAACCGACGGGAGGGGGGTGACGTGGGACACACCAGACGAGGCAGGCGGGGAGGGGGGAAGACAGGGTCGACCGGGGGAGGGGGGGGGACCAGGAACTGGGGGGGAGTGATCGGGGGACCATGGTGGGGAAAGCGGTGGTAGAAGGAGACGGACTCGTCAAAAGTGACATCATGAGAGTGAAAGAATCGGTCAGAAGGCATGTGGTAGAACTGCCAGTCCGACGAGTCGAGGGGGAAACCTAGGAAGACACAGGGGTTAGTGCGGACAGTGAGCTTGTCCGTGCCAGAGGCACGAACGTGAGCAAGGCAGCCCCAGACGTGGAACGCAGACGCGTCACCAGGGGACCTGGTCCAGAGGAGGGTCATGGAGGTACGAGCAACCTCCATGACCAAACCGATGCGTCGCTCAGCGACCCCATTCTACTTCGGGGAGTCCGGCAGGGTAAACGTCTGGGTGATGCCCTCCGCACGACACAAGCGACCAAGGCAGCCAGAGGCAAACTCGCCACCATGATCAGAGTGAAGACGCAAGACAGGGAGACCTCGGCGAACACGCGCAGAGACAAGCCACAGGAGAAGAACGTCAGGCACGTCGGGCTTCCGCTCCAGGGGAAAGACGGTGGTGTAGCGGGTGTAGTCGTCGACAAGCACTAGGAAATAGCACCCGCGACGCGGCCCATGGACGGGGGTGGGGCCCCAGACGTCCATGTGCATGGTCTGCAGCGGTGCGGAGGTAGGGGGGAAAGAGGAGGAGTGAGGGGCATGGCGGAGCCGGCCCTCGCCATAGGTCATGCACGGAGGCGCGGGTGAGGAGGGGAGCGTAGGGAACGACTCAGGGAGGCCTAGGACAAGACGGTGCTGGGACATGTGACGGAGACGGGTGAGGGCGGGGTGACCTAGACGGTGGTGCCACAGAAGTGACGGGTAAGTAAGCGACCGGCACAAGCACGCCGCAGCAACCTAGGAAGACACAGGTACCTAGGGAGGCGTCCCAACCGTGGGGGAAGCGGTGTCCAGTGTGAACAGGCCAGTCACCGGGTCCCGGGGGAACGTGGTGAGGGGGGCACCAGTGGCGGCCATAGTACAGACAGCGTACCGCTCGTGCCCAGGGAACGTATAGTGACGCCAAGTTCCTGGAGGCAGCCGACACCAACTAGGTTCCTAGAGAATGAGGGGATGTGCAGGCCTGTAAGGGAGCCCGAGGGATCCGCCAGACAGGGGAGAGTAGTGAAGCTACGGGCAACTACAGTGCCGGAGGAAGGGTGTGCAAGAGCAACTGCAGCAGGAGCGGCAAGCGGCGTAAGCGTCGTGGAGTCGCGAAAGAAACACCGGGAAGCGCCGGAGTCCAGGGTGAGGGAGAGCGCGGCAGCGGCGACAAAGGTCGGAAGAGCGAGGGAGGACCCTAGGCTAAACAAGACAGTGGATCCTACGCCTGACGCAACAGGGGAGCCTGAACTAGGCACACTGGGCACACCTACGCTAGGCAACACATGGTAATAGGAACCAGTCACACTAGAGTCATCAACATATGGCGCATACAAAGCAGAGCTAATCTCATCCATGTCCATATCAAAGATCTGAACACGACGACGGATCAGACTGTGCCAGTCGGGGAGGTCAGGCGACGGGCCGAAGCGGAGACGAAACAGGTCGTCTAGGCGACGAAAGCAACGAGCGGGGGTATGGCCGATCTTACCGCACACGAGGCCGCGGCGAGGACCGGTCTGGAGCTGGTACTGGCAGCGCCCGTCACTCTGAATACCACCCGATAACACGCCGCGCGAGCGACCACTATCATGTACGGTCAGTGGAACGCAATAAACCATCAGAATGAGTGAGTTCGTCACACAGCTAGTCATTCAGGTTCCACGTTTAGTCAGTGACTGCTGGTAAACATTTCTATGAATGGTCAGTGGACGTAACCCCCGCCCATTTTGGGCAGATTTACCGCTCGCAGCAGCCCAACAACCAAACGACTATAATAATTGCGGGGGGCGAGATTTTTTTCGTGCCAGCCTGGCGCTGCACATTTCGCCCTCACTCCAACCCTGGGTACTGTACATTTTGCACTCGCTCCTACGCTTGGCACTGTACATTTCGCCCTCACTACAATGCTTGGTATTGTACATTTGGAGACAGGAGAGGGCGAAATGTACAGTACCAAGCATTGGAGTGAGGGCAAAATGTACAGTACCAAGCATTGGAGTGAGGGCGAAATGTACAGTACCGAGGGTTGGAGTGAGGGCGAAATGTGCGGCGCCAGGCTGGCGCGAAAAAAATCTCGCCCCCCGCAATTATTATAGTCGTTTGGTTGTTGGGCTGCCGCGAGCGAGAAATCTGCCCAAAATGGGTGGGGGTTACATCCACTGACTATTCGTAGAAATGTTTACCAGCAGTCATTGACAAAACGTGGAACCCGACTGACTAGCTGTGTGACGAACTCACTCATTCTGATGGTTTATAGTGCTCCACTGACCGTACGTAATAGCGGGGACCCTAATACTGAGCGCGGATGAACTTTCCCATCCAGAAACAATGACTTGGAGCCCGATTGGTTGGCCGTATTCTGGAACACGGATGGTGTCGAGCAATTTCTCAGGGCTGGCTCGGAATAGGCTTAAAGCCAACCAATATTTTTTAATCACACCAAACCTCCTAGAATAGAGGTGTGTACCGATCACCAGAATAAGGAAGGCTGGAATACGGAATGAGGAAAGGGCGCCTAGCTGCTGACTCGGGCGAAATCGTGCCAACAGCCAGTCGATGCGAATTCGGGAATAGTGAAGAGTGGGGCAATCCAGACGCAATGACTAATGCCCTTATTTCGGAAACAGGAAACGTCGAATACCGAATACCAGCCTGTGTCTGACCGCCAAGAAAACAATTTTCAGGGTCGCATTTAGATATCAAGCCAGATGCAGGGCCCCGGATGCACAATCTGAAGCCCTGTTTCCCCCCTCCCTTTCGTTTTTCGTGAGCAAGTTCGTGGCGGGCAAGTTCGTGGCGGGCAAGTTTGGTAATTCGCCAGCTCAGACGCGTCAGTTACATCACGCAATTTCGCACATAAACCAGCCCAGCTTCTCGCACTACCTAACCTAGCGAGTCAACGCACGGAATAGGGAAAGCTCGCAGCGGATTCCTCATTCCGCATTCTGGAATCGCGGCTTACCGATCAAGGCCTTGGTAGTACTGCGTCATGCAGAGTGGAATGGAAAGGCCTGGTGATGATGCTGACGGGACGGACGAGCTCGAGTTTGTTGGATGGGCATTCGCTCGCCACCGCAGCGAGTTTGAATCTGTGGTGACCAAGCAAGCTCAGTTGGTGGGTCGTTATCCGCACTTTTCCGATCCACCAATCAGCGCACTGCTCTCAACGCTCTGCTCTTTAGCACACACCTGAACCCCGCGCTCCGCGTGATCCAGCTTTTGCTCCGAGAAGTTTGGCGAAGATTTTCGCCACCCACTTTTTTCCTGGTGGAGTCCGTAACGATGCGAAGAGTTGTCGTCGAGAGGTGAATTTCATGGTCGTGCGACTGTACGGCGAGAAAACACGTCGCGACGACCATGAATTGGTCGCAGCTTCTGGATGTCGTGCGACAGTGTGGCTCCACGTTGGAGGCGAATGGGGGTGCACACACGAAGTCAATCTTTTCACGCCGTGAGCCACCAGTTCTGTCCAGGCAAGGGATTGGCTCGTCGCTTTCGCGAATCACCAGCAGCGTGTAGCACCTTAGGCGAAAATGCCCAACATCCTGCTAGAATTTCGCAACACTGTCGCAGAGCGCCTGCCACGGGTGTCAGGGGGGGTTGTTCAGAGGACCTCCCTGCACTCGTGGTTGCTTTCCCCCCCACCCCCCCCCCACCCCTTCGCTCCGCCTGCTTCCCGCCCGCCCAAGGCATGGGCAGCTCAGGCCACATCCATGACTGCCCCTCGCAGCTCGCTCCTCATCCACACGAACGAACCCTCATCTACTAACTGTATCTCACCTGATCAAATCGCTCACCACTCACTACTAGCTGAATCCTCACTCGCTCCCACCCACCATGCAAACCGCTTTCTCCCACAACGGAGTGTCCGCTGCGATTGGCTGTGAGTGAAGCAGGGTGATTGAGGAGTCCATGCCACATCCACTGCCCGCAGCAGCAGGCTGCAGGACGCTCCCTGCTCTCTTGCCAGGCGATAGGGAGGGGAAGGGAAGGGAGGGAAGGGAAGCCCAGATCAGGTGTGCATGTAAAGACTGACAGAAACTAAATGAGTGACATTCCTGACCAGCCTCGGAGTGTCTCGTCGTAAGCTTTGTATCCGGCCCACCGAATTTGCCCTCCTCCACCATCTCTTTCTCCTCCACCCATCTCTCTCTCCTTCGAGTCGACTCAAAAAGTCTCCACCCATCTCTTCCTCTTTCTTTTTTCACGCTGCCGCGTGTCCCTCGCTCTCCTCGTCCTCCACACCTCCTGACTCCTCAACCGTCACTCGCCTCGCGCCTCTCACTCCGCCTTCCCCGCCGCCCGACCGGCCGCCGCCATGCCGCCCTGGGAGAGGTACCTCGCGCGACCCCCGCTGCATGCGGAGGTGCCCTATCCGCTCGACACGTGGCATAGCGCCGCCTCGTGCGACAGCGTCGCACAAGACATGGGGTCGTGGCAACACACTATCGCGCATCCACCCGCGCCACTGCCCTCCCACCTCTCCTCCGCGTTCTCCGCACTCTCTTCCGCGCCCTCTTCACATCTGCCCTCCCCCCATCTGCCCGACCGCGCATTCTCCCCCTCTCTCCCGCACCACGCGCAAGGCCAAGCCCTCCCCGGGAAGTCGGTGCTTCCGCCAAACGCGCCGTCCGCGCCGTCCGCGCCCTTCACGTCGTCCGCCTTCGCCTTCCCCTCGCTCGCCCTCGACACCTCCCTCTCCGCCCTCTCCCTTTCCCTCCGCTCTCAATCCTCGCCTGATCCTCCCGCCCGCCCTTCTCTTCCGCACGCCGCCTCCGCGGGCTCTCTCCGCACCCTTGCTTCCGCCGCGCTTTCCGCCCCCCATTGTGCGCCGCCTGCGCCGTGTTCAGCGGTCAGCGACGGCGGCACCGGTCGCCGCAGCGCGAGCATGATTCCGTATCCCGCGGGGAAGGCGATGAATCCAGCGTCGTCGGGCTCCAGCCCGTCGTCGCCCGCGTCGTTCGTATCGTCCGTTTCGTCGCCAGTCGCAAGCAATGCGACGGCTGATCTGTCGCACGACTCGCTTCCCGCCGACAACCCTTGGTACGTTTCGCCTACGCCATCGGCCCCCGCAGAGGGCGGAAAGGACGAGCCTGGTGGAACCGCGGAGGCTGCAGGCGGAAAGGCAAGCGCGGGGATGACGAAAGGCGGAGAAGTGAGTCCGGATGCGCTCTCTGCTGCAGATCGTGGCACGGCGGAGGAGCAGGGGGCGTCGGGTTTGGCGCAAGCGACGCACGCGGGGGAGGTGGAGCGGCTGCAGCGGGCCGTGCGGCGGGCGGAAGCCGCTGCGGCGGAAGCGCAGCAGGCGGCGGCGATGGCGCAGATGGAGATGGCGCAGATGCAGCGCGCGTGCGGGGAGCAGGCGCGGCAGGTGGTGCGCCTGCGGCGGGAGCTGGACTCCGCGGGGGACGCGCACCTGCAGCTCGCGGCGGAGGTGGCGTGCCTGCGCGGGGAGCTGGCGGGCGCGGGGGACGTGGCGGTGCAGCAGGCGGGGCAGGCCGCGCGGCTGCGGCGCGAGCTGGAGGGGACGCAGTGCGTGGTGGTGCGGCAGGCCGCGGAGGCGACGCAGCTGCGGCGCATGGTGAAGGCCGCGCACGCCGTGGACGTACGTGCCATGGCGCCCTCATGCCCCGCCGTGTCCTTGGGTTCTCTGTATGCTCCTGCACCTCCTGCACCTCCTGCACCTCCTGCACCTCCTGCACCTCCTGCACCTCCTGCACCTCCTGCACCTCCTGCTCGCACTCCCATCCACAATCTTGTTGCGTCGCCCCTTCATCCGCTCCTCACTTGTCCTTCATCTTCCTCTCCCCTCTCATTCCTCCCCCCCTCCCCCACCAGTTGGTGCACCTGGAGGACTTCGCCATAGCGGCCCTGCAGCACGACCTCAAGGCGGAGGCGCGCCGCGGGCTGCCCCCAGCGGACGCGGCGCTGATGGACGCGCCAGAGGAGTATGGCGGGTGCCGCCAGTTTTACCAGACCGGCGCCTGCCACTTCGGCCGCGGCCGCCGCCCGTGCCCCAACGAGGCCAGCCACTTCTGCCTGCGCTGCGGGCGTGCCCACGGCACGGCGCCGCACCTCGTGCTGCTCCGCCGCCTCAACGCCCGCTGCCTGTTGCCGCAGTGAGCACTGCCTGCTGCTGCCGTAGCTGCAGGACTCAATGGAGTTAACTTCGCAACTGCTCAAGACCAGCATCCAGCTCTCCTGGCGCTGCACTGCGCCCCGCCTTTTGCTGCCCATGCAGCCAAACCACCGCGCCCTGCTGGCCAAAGCAAGAAACAAGTGTGTGCCCAGCAGCCTTGAGCATTCACTCTAGCCTTGCTGCCATGCAGCTGACACCAGCTGCCATGGTCCCCCCTCTGCCTCCCTACCATTCACTCGACTGCCCGCCCCACCAAGGCAATTGTTGCCTACGAGCTGCAGGCTGCTCTCTGCAGCCATGGCTCCTTCCACCACCGGTTGCCGCCGCCACCACCCCGTGCACTGCTCCTCCCTGTGCAGCTGCCTCCTGCCATCCGCTCTGCTCCATGGCCCCACTCCAGTCGCCATCCCAAGGGGCCCTTCTCCGCAGTACCCTGCACACCCCATGCATCCTGCCCACACCCTGTTGTTGGTACGGGTGCCTCATTGCTTTGCTGCACAACCATGTTTTGCTGCTGCCCTGCCCTGCTCGCCCATGCACGCATGCGGGCATGTGGGCAGCCCTTGCCCTTCCAGCAGGCAGCTGGGAGCTCCCTTGGGTCATGGTGTTAGCCAGCCGTGCCCACTTTGTCTCATCATCTGATATTTTTGCTGTTATTTATTGCTGTAATTATTTATAGCAATATTATATTTATTTCCTGCTTGGAAACATGAACAGCATGGACTATCATGCCATTCAGCATTCACATGAATCCCTTGCGGGTGACGACGCCACAGATGGCAGCTCACCAAATGCCAGCTGCTGCTGTTGCTGCCGCAGCTTCAGCCTGTGCTCGTCCTCCGCCTTCTTTATACACGAGGACAGCAGGCGGGACAGCGGGGCGGCAGTGACCCCGTGCACCACTACGGACGCCACCACCACAAACAGCACCACATGCGCGGCCGTGGCATCCCCATCCAGCTCCTCGTACGCCTGCGTGGCGTACAGCACTGCACCCACCCCTATCGGCCCAAAGAACCCCGCAAACCCTGCCTGGCAGTACAGCGCGCGCTTGGACAGCGTCTGTCTGTGCAAATCCGGAAGCCATGGCGCGAGGGCAAGGAGCACGGGCAGGCGGCGCAGCAGCAGCACGAGGAGGGCGAAGAGCAGGAGGCGCGGGATGCCGATGGCGCGCCACGCGGGGAAGGGCAGCACGGCGCCCAGGTAGGTGAAGTAGGAGACCGTGGCGATGATCTCCAGCCCGTTGATCGCGTCGTACCGCCCCTCTTCCGCTGTCGGCTCGCGGCTGGAGAAGGCTATGGTCGCCACAAAGACAGCTAGTACGCCGCTGGCTCCTGAGGTGGAGTGAGGGAGGGGAGGGGAGGTGCAGGGAGTGGGTGTGAGGTAGAGGTGAGGCAATGGTGAAGCAAGAGGGGAAAGGGTAAGCAGGAAGAGGACGGAAGGTGGGGAGAGATTGGCTCACCCACTGACAAATGCACCATTCACACACCAGCAACTCCCCAATTCACGTGCACCCACCGATGGCTCTCACGAGTCCCAGGGCACCGAGAGCGAGCCCAATGATGTGGGCGAGGAAGGAGGGCTCGTCGATGAGCCCGTACTTGTCGCCCACATAGAGTAGCCCACGTGCCACCAGCCCATACACCATGCCCGCTGCTATGGCCACTCCCACCTGGGGGGAGGTGCAGTGCGGTGCAAGTGGGTGTTGGAAAGGCATGGTGAGAAGTGCATGGGGTGTTTTCGTGCAGGCCAGGGATGGGCGACGATGATGCATCAGTTAGGTTTACCATTCGGACGAATCTGCAACACACCTGGCACCAGGTAAGCCCTACCTGACACCTGAACCCCACCTTACAGCAGTGAACCCCTACCTGACACCTAACCCCACCTGGTAGGCACAGCCAACAGCGAGCCAGTGCGTGAGGGCGTGGGGCAGAGAGGGCTGCAGGATGAGCGTGATGGGCAGCATGACGTACGGTAGCGCCATGCCGTCGTTGGCGCCGCTCTCCGCCTGCAGCATGAAGCGCAGCGGCGCTGGCAGGTGGCTGTGAGAGGCGCATGGAGGTGGGCACAGAGGGAGTGAGAGGTGGGCACAGAGGGAGTGAGAGGTGGGCACAGAGGGAGTGAGAGGTGGGCACAGAGGGAGTGAGAGGTGGGCACAGAGGGAGTGAGAGGTGGGCACAGAGGGAGTGAGAGGTGGGGACAGAGCATGCAGCGCAGCGGCGCTGGTAGGTGGCTGCGAGGGGCGCGGCGCATGGAGTGGGGCACAGAGGGAGTGAGGAGAGGCATGGACAGAGTGCGGCGGAGAGAGAGCGTCCTGCGCTCTCCGCCTGCGAGGGGGGAGGGGGGAGAAAGGAGAGGAAAGAGAACGTGCGAGGCACGGATTAGAGACAGACACATAGTGAGGCAGGCACATTTGCTACCACACTCCACCGCACCCCACCCACGCACCCGTTTCCAGCCTCCCCCGACTCACAGCTCAGCGAAGCGGCCCTGCAGGATGGTCGACGCGAGGACGGGGTCGGTGGGCGTGAGGCACGCGGCCACCAGCAGGCACAGCTGCCACGACGCGCCCGCGTGCGGCAGCAGCCAGAGCGCGATGGCAAAGGCGATGGCCCACGTGGCGAGCATGGTGGGGCCCAGCAGCACCGCCAGCGACCGCCACTGGCGCTCCACGTACCTCAGCGGCAGCCCTAGGCCCGCTGACACCAGCTGCACTGCCAGCACGATGCGGGAGAGCTGCGGGAAGAGGGAGGGAGTGGGGGAGTGCGGGGGAAGCGGGGGAAGCGGGGGAAGCGGGGGAAGCGGGGGGAACGGAATGGGCACGAGACGGGAGAGCTGGCTGGGATGGAGGCACAAGGGAGGGCGGGAGAGGGCAATGCGGCCTGCGAGGGATAATAGCGGCAGCTGCGATGCACTTGAAAAGGGCATCGTTATGCGCCTCGCACCATCAACGCACCTCGCGGAGCACCGCTAGATCCGTGGCCTCGCCCAGCGCGCCGCGGGGGTCGAGCACGCTGATGGCAGTGCGGGCCGAGCAGCACGCCCACCACCAGCGCCGCGAAGGACTCCGATATAAGCAGCCCCTCTTTGAGCTTGCGCATCATGAAGGTGTAGGTCATGATGAGCCCGCCCACCGCGCCCACCGTTATGTGCAGCCACGCTAACGGGGGAATCAGATCCGCCATCGCCGGCCAATGAAAGCTCTCAGCGAGTAACGAGGAGAGCGGTAACCGGGATGACGGCGGATGAGGAGGAAAAGGCGGGAGGAGATCGGACGGGTAAGAGATCCGATCGGAGGGGAGGGAGATAAGAAGGGGAGCGCGCGAGAGCGGCATGGCGTGTGGCGCCGGGAGAGGGTTTGAGGAAGCTTATTGCTGGAAATTGATGTGTATCGAGAAGCGGGGCAACGGGAGATCGCAGAGACAGGGTAGAGCGGAGAGAGGGAGGGGCGAAGACGGATCGAGAGGTGCAAGGAATGCGGACAAGACTCGCAGAGAGCGGCAAATCTAGAGGCGGGAGAGTCCCACCCGCGCTGCAATCGCAATCGCAAGTGCATTGCAGCGCGAGTGGGCCGTGAGGCCATTCGAGCGAGCACGGCGGCAAGAGCAAGGCGAAGAGGGCGCAGACAGGATAGACTGTTCGGGCGGCTGTAGAAATGGGCGAAGGAATAAGGGGAATTGGATGTCATTCGTGGCTCCCTGCATGCTCCTCGCTGCCAGCTAAAACAATTCGCGCCCCCCCGGTGCAATTCCGAACGACGACGTTCCGAATTTGCGGAGGAACTGGTGCAGAAGGAGATCTGCATGCCACGTAGCTTCATATCGGGTATGCTGTGGTGATTGCAATGGTAGCTCGCTTTTGCACAAAAAACAGAGCCCAATCCCATGCAAACAATTGATGTATACAATAAGGCTTCCAAATTACGTTGGATATCCATCACCTTGACATACTTCAACATTGCTAATTTTCTTTGAGCCGCCGTCGTATATCCATCCAGTAGGAAATGGGATGACATAAATACGCAACACTTGGCTGCTCTACTAGGGCAGCAAGATGCCCAAACAAATTGAGTCCCCAAAAACTTGAGATGCAGGGGAAGCTGCATCAAACACAATGCCAACGCCATGCGTTGAGAATTGAAGGTGCTAGATTCTTTGCAATGGCTAGTGTTGTTTGAAGCTTGATGCTCACTTGAAGCCCCACACCTCAACCTGGGCCACTTCAAATTCCTCAGAGCTGGGTAAGGGCAGGGAGGCGAGGAGAGAGCGCAACGTGGGAAGGAATGGGGGACACGAGAGGGAGGGCACGGGAGGCAGGACATGCGAGGGACGAGGTCAGAGAGGATAACTGCAGCAGTGTGTGGGGCGTGGTGGCAGAGGGCAAGGCGAGGCACGGCCTACATGCATCACGAGCGGTGGAAGGCAGGGTGGGGTGCATGGCAGTGTGCACGTATGATGCGAGGTGTGGTGCGGGGAAGCACACATGGCGTACCTGGCAAGGATGGAGCTGCCGAAGGTGTCACAGGGCGCACTGGCGCCCGTGAGCAGGTCAGCATACAGCAGCAGGCTGTGGTGGTTGCTGCTCATGGTTCAGGGCATAGAGCGGGTGAACAGAAAGGTGCACATGAGAATGCAGAGGCACAGCTGACACAGGGATGGAGTATGGTGAGGGTGGCCTAATCCCAAAAGAATATAGGGTGCGTTGGGAACAGTAAAAGCAAAGCGAATTCAAGAGGGAGCATCATCTCCTATCTAGCACCCAACGGGGGCAACCACAAGGCACGCCAATCACTCCCCTCCAGGCTCACCTCCCCCAGGCTAATCCCCCCTTGAGGCTCACCCGCCGCCAGCAGCGAGCATGGCGTTGCTGGAGAGCATGAAGTAGCTGTTGGTGCGCGCCCACCGGTACGCCACACACTCCGGCTGCACCTGCCGGGGGGGGAGAGAGGGTGGGGGGGAGGCGGCAGAGGAGATGGAGAGGAGGGGGGGGGGTTGGGTTGGGGGGGATGGGAAGTGTTGGTGCGGGCCCACCGATCCACACATGCCGGCTGCACCTAAGAGGGTGAGAGAAGGAGGGGAGGGGAGAAGCGGCGGAGAGGGTGGGGGAGGAGAGTGCGATAGCACAGTGGAGCTGGCAGAAAGCACTTGGAACAAAAGCTGTGGCGTTTGAAAGAGCAGAGCATTAGGGAGCAGGTGGGCGGACGGATGTGGAAAGGTAAGGTGTCCATTGCAAGGCAATCAGATGGAGGAGAAGGGACGGAGTGGGTACCTGGAAGACGAAGCACTCCCCATTGCCGTAGTACCGATCCATGGGACGCCATTCCTCATTGGTGAAGCACCCAAACACCTGCTCCCGTGCACACACGAATACATGCACACACGAATACATGCACACATGCGTGCACACATGGACACACGCACGCAGCACATGGCAGTGGATGAGGAGCTGTCGCCATCAAGGACAGAGACAGGGTTAAAGGATGGGCACAACTACCAGTGACGTGAGAGGAAGAACGGGACGGGTGTGCTCGTGGGAGGCTGTACGCAGACACGGGGTAAAAGACAGAAAAGTGTATGCATGACAGCGTATGCATGACAGCGTATGCATGACAGCGTATGCATGACAGCGTATGCACGACAGCGTATGCACGACAGCGTATGCATGACATCGTATGCACGACAGCGTACGGACGACAGCGTACGGACGACAGCGTATGCACGACAGCGTACGCACGACAGCGTACGCCCGACAGCGTACGCACCACAGCGTATGCACGACAGCGTATGCATGACATCGTATGCACGACAGCGTACACACGACAGCATACGCACGACAGCGTAGGCACGACAGTGTATGCACGACACAGGGGTGGTTTCTCCACTCACATATTTATGTGAATCGCGCACAACAAGGAGACAGGCGCCCTTGCCCTTGATCTTCCGAAAGAGAGTTGCCATACTGCAGCGTGTGTACAATGCGACACAGAAGCGCCACGGCCACGTATTCACCACAGCCATACATTCACCATGGGGCATGGGGGCATGGAGGCATGCAGCAAACAAGGACCAAGTGACAGCAGTGAGAAGAGTGGCATGAGTGAGTGAAGAGGCTCCGAGGGGTTGACCACAGAGGGTAAATAATCTCATGCAGGCAAACACCTCTGCTGTGAAACACCCATGCAGGTACGAGGGCCCATCTGGTCGCCTCTGCTGTAAACACCTGAAGCTGACTACATGAACACCAGATACCATTTGTTATAGTCACCTGGCGCCACCTGAATAATCACCTGATGCCATCCCTGGCAGTGGAGTAGAGCAATCTCCAGGGCGAGGTGCGCAGGCGAGCAGGCAGAGTCACCGCCAGCTGGGATGGCAGGGGGGGGAGCATGAGTGGAGGGGGGAGGGGAGTGGGGGGTGTGGGGGGGATCATGGGGGAATAGGGGGGGGCGGGATTGGGGGTTGTGGGGAGGAACACGAGGGAAGAAAAGGGGGGGGGGGAGTGGGGGGTGTGGGGGGGAGCATGGGGGAAGAGGGGGGGGCGGGATTGGGGGTTGTGGGGAGGAACATGAGGGAAGAAAAGGGGGGGGGGAGTGGGGGGTGTGGGGGAGAGCATGAGGGAAGGAGGGAGCAAGGGAAGGCGAAAGCAGAGGAGTTGGAATGCGGGGATTGGGAGACACTGTGTCGTGGGAGCCCAATTGAGCCAGCACATTGTCGCACTTACCGCCATGAAGTTTTGGGGTGAGAGCAGCAGCGACTCCCCTATTCTCTTGGGCAGGTAATGCCCTCTGATCACTGCAGAACCCCACCGTATCGCACTCCCCTCCCCCTCCCCTTCTTGACCCTCCTTCCCCGCACCCTCGTCTCCCCTCCCCCCTCCCTTGTCGCTCTTCTGTGCTTCTAAGGGGAACGACGGCTGGTAGCCCTTGTTCTCGGGCACTGTTCCTCCATTCGCTACAATCACGGCCAGCGAGGCGTCGAGCAGCACGGCGGGGGAGAGCACCACCTGCTGCCACGTGGCGAGCTTCTGGTGCACCAGGGCCAGGCTGCGCTGAAGGAAAGGGGGGAGGGCGGGGGGGGGAGAAGAAAAGGGGAGGGGGATGGTTGGGGGCGGGTAGGAGCAGAGCACGTCTCGTGTGTGGCTGAGCTGTGGGGAAAGCTCACATGCACCCATAATACTTGCATCCATCATTCATTCTGCATGCACCCTAATCGCCCCCACAACACACCCATCCTTCTCCTCCTTTCAGCGAACACCCCATCAACCCTCATCTCTTTCATCCCAGCCCTTCTTGGTCTGCCTTCCTGCAGCTAATCTGCACCTCTGTCCCCAATTTACCTCCCATCTGCTTCCCTTCGCCTACTTCCCCCTGCCTCCCTCTCACCCTGCGGCGTTGCACGCGAACTGCAGACTCTGCGCGGGCGCGTTGGCGAGGCTGGGGTTGCGGAAGAGGATCTCCCACTTCTCCATGCGCGCCACCAGCGCCTCCAGCTCCCGCCGCGCCTCCTCCTCCTTCCGCACCGCCTCCTCCTTCGCCTGCCTCTCCTCCTCCCTCGCCCTCCGCTCCTTCTCCTTCGCGTCCACGTGCTCCTCTCTCTCTCCCTCACCTGCTCCTCTCTCGCCATTCGCTGCATTCGCTCCTTCCCCGTCTTTCACTCCTGCGCTTTCCTTCTCCTCTTCCCCTTTTTCGTCAACCACAATTGTAACCTCCTCTGCCCCTTCTTTACTTCTCGCTTCCGCCCCCTCTTCCGCTGCGCCCTCACCTTCTGTCTCTCCGACTTTCTCCTCCGCTGCTGCTTCCCCTCCTTCCCCCTCTGTCCCCCCGCTCACGCCATTCTCCTTCGCCGCTTCCCCCTCACCCTCCCCTTTTTCCGCAGCCCCCCCCTCCGACTTCCGCACCCCCGGAATAGCCAACCCCACCGGCTTGTGCTCCTGCACCCACTGCCACGTGGCGGTCAGGGACTCGCCGATGGCGGCGGCGAGCGACGCCTGCAGCTTGGGCCAGTTCTCCTCGAGCTTGTCTTTAATCGCCACCGCGTTGCCGCGAATCGCGGCTGACGTGGACGCGATGTAGGAGCGCGCGGAGGCGTCGGGCTGCGAGAAGGCTTTGATTCGGCGCATGCCGACGAAGTGGCTGTAGGAGAAGGCGCAGCTGCGAATGCCGAAGTCCAGCATGAAGGGGTTGTCGCCCAACGACGCCTCGAGCTGAGGTGACAAGTTTCGGGGATTGGGAATGGACCCATTAAAGAACTCAGGAGGAGAGTTAGGGTGCGAAGGCAAATGGCGGATGCAAAGGCGAATGGCGGGTGGAGAAACGCAAATGGAGTACCATCTACCATCAGGCCACCTTGCGCCATATCCTCGCGCCGTACCAGATCGCGTCCGACGGGAACGATGATGCGAGGTGGCGAGTCGTCGTCGTCCTCCCCCTCCTCCTGGTTGCTCGCGTTCCTCGACAGCGGCTGCTGCTTCAGCTCCGGGTACTTGGCCTCCAGTTCCCGTCGCTCGCGGTCGCCGACGATAGTCAGCATCATTCGCACGCGCTCCACCTCCTCCGCGCTCAGCACGCGCTCGCTCGCCTTCGCCGACTCCATTTCGTCGTCCGACTTGTCGTCGAAGTCGCTCGCTTCCGTCGGCTGCTTCTCCGGTGCCAGCTGCGACGTCGCCTGCGAGTCGTCGCCGTCGTCGTCCTCTGTCGCAGAGGCCGTGCCTTCCCCGTCGATCTTATCCGAGAGAGATATCGTCTCCATCGCCAGCTCGTCGTTCGTGCCGGAACTAGCCGTCGCACTGGGATGCGCTGTCGCAGTCTCAGCTGACTCGTCCATGGCTGCGACCAACCCAATGCGTGCAGGTTGGTGGACGATCTATTCCCTTGAAACCAACAGAAATGAGGCAGAGCTGATGAGCTGCCTAGCTTGACGTTGTCCTGCTCATCGATCACCGCCGTGTGTCACGCCTGCAGGGATGGCAGGAGGCTACTAGAGCAACTCCCTGCGGATCTGTGACATCACAAGTATTTCAAGAAACTACCTCCCCTGAAAGTGCCTCCTAGGAATCACCGAAAACGGTTCGTTTTGTTCATACATCCCATCTTGGGATTGGGCCATCGCTTCCCCATCACGCGCGGAGCGGGATGTCGCCCTTCCGCTGGGTGCGGGAGGTAAGCAGAGGACGAGATGGAGAGGTGCGGGGGATGCGCGGTGCCTGTCGGTGCTCTCTTGGACACTGACAGCGCGGGATGAATGCGGCAACGACAGGTGCGCTAAAGCCGAAACACCCAAAACATTTCTGCAGTCTGATCGGACACCGTTATAAGCCAGTTTTATTATGCTTTGATATACGAGAGATATCTCAGCATAACATTATTCCTTACAAAGCAGTGTTTAAAATTCTAGAAAAACATCAGCTTTGCCTCCTTTCATGAGAGGTGCATGAACCATTCCTGCCAAAACAGGAGGACCACCTTGTGATCCTACCTCAGCACCTCTGTTCTATGCTTCCCAGCTAGAAGTGCAGGCACTAAGATTGCATGGAGTGAAGTGCCCCTTGATGCTGTGCAGTGGGCATTCACCCCAGCCACTTCTTACTGTATCGGTTGCCCTCTATTAAACAACCATCAGCCACCTCATTTACTCCCGATGGGCCACTCCCAAGTCATGTGAGGACAATTGAGGCTGCTGCATGCATAACGCACCGATGTTGCATCAGGCACTCCCCGTCTCCAAACTCACTCTTTTGAGTGTATATGCACACACGTCACTTGAGTAGGGACTGCAGTGGCTAAAAATCCTTGCACCTAAAAGCAAGCACTGATGAAAGGTGACATCAGGCACTCCATGCAGCATCATCACTTCCCACCTTGCACCCATGCCCTCAACCCACCAGCTGATTAAGACTTGCCATGGCTCTCGCGCCCAGGAACTCACTCTGGCGCCCAGGAGCATTGCCAGCCATGGAGCCAACACTGCAGAATTGCCAGGAGCCAACACTGCAGCATTGCCATGGAGCCGAGCCAAGACTGCGGAATTGCCACGGAGTCAACACTGCAGCATTGCCATGGAGCCAACACTACAGTGTTGCCAGGAGCCAACACTGTAGCATTGCCCATGGAGCCAACACTGCCACGTTGCCATGGAGCCAACACTGCAGCATTGCCACGGAGTCAACACTGCAGCATTGCCACGGAGCCAACACTGCAGCGTTGCCAGGAGCCAACACTGCAGCATTGCCACGGAGTCAACACTGCAGCATTGCCACGGAGTCAACACTGCAGCATTGCCATGGAGCCAGAGCACTGCCATGGAGCCAGCACCCGAGAGCACTGCCAGGGAGCCAGCACCCGAGAGCACTGCCAGGGAGCCAGCACCCGAGAGCACTGCCAGGGAGCCAGCACCCGAGAGCACTGCCAGGGAGCCAGCACCCGAGAGCACTGCCAGGGAGCCAGCACCCGAGAGCACTGCCAGGGAGCCAGCACCCGAGAGCACTGCCAGGGAGCCAGCACCCGAGAGCACTGCCATGCAGCTAGCACCCGAGAGCACTGCCAGGGAGCCAGCACCCGAGAGCACTGCCAGGGAGCCAGCACCCGAGAGCACTGCCATGCAGCCAGCACCCGAGAGCACTGCCAGGGAGCCAGCACCCGAGAGCACTGCCAGGGAGCCAGCATCCGAGAGCACTGCCATGCAGCCAGCACCCGAGAGCACTGCCATGCAGCCAGCACCCGAGAGCACTGCCATGCAGCCAGCACCCGAGAGCACTGCCAGGGAGCCAGCACCCGAGAGCACTGCCAGGGAGGGAACACTTAGAAGTTGCCAGCAGTAGGAGCAGCATACCGCCCACTCCACTTCGGAACCAGCACCCGCAGTGGCTGTGCCTTGTGGTGCGAGTGTGGAGGTGGAAAAGCGCTTCCAGCCCAAGACTCAAATCCCACCCCTGGCGTGGCAAGAGCTGGCACGTACCAGAGCCGGCCGGCTCGGCTCTGACGGTGCCCATTATGCATTAAACGCGCAGGTTAGTTACTTGAGCACCGAGTGCCGTGCCACGCAGATTCCACCCACCACACCCACCCCACAAGGCAGCAACCACTTAGGATGCTGGCCCTAAGGCCGTGTGAACTACTCCCACGCTGGACCCCCCCCACACACACGGTGCTGTGCTCCCATGCCTTCTTACCTCTACCTACCACAGCCATGCAGAGCGCCAAGGTTGAGGCTGCAAGGAGGGGAAGTGGGGGATCAGCAGGGGGAGGCTCCAATCTAGCAGGACACAGGAACCGATTGCACCTGGAGGGGAGAGGAGACAGGAGAGGAGAGGGAAGGGTCATCCTGCTGACCTCGCTCCATTTCTCCACCGGGGAAGATGGTTCCTAGAGGGGAGGGGGGGCAGTAGAGGAGAAAGGTGAGATGTTATCCTCCTGACCTCGCTCCATTGCTCCACTGCTCTACTGCTCCACTGCTCCAGACGAACGGCGCTGCAGGGAGGGGGATACCTTACCTTTCACCTTACCTTGCCTCTGCCTCACACACTCCTCTACCAGCCTGTCCCCTAACTGCCCAGCTGCTGCTGATGCTGATGCTGCTGCTGCTGCAACGGCTGCAACCCCTTCTCTGCTTCGCTGCTACTCTGCTACTCTGCTTCTCTGCTTCGCTGCTTCTTCTACCGCTGCAGCCGTGAATGCCCTGGGCGTTGACAGAAGCCTGTGAGGGCGGCGGGAGAGGAGGTAGAGAACTCAAGGGAGGGAAGTTCGATGGGACAAACAGCTGGCGGGAACCAGGTGACTTTTGAGTCGACTCAAAAGTCAACAGCTGGCGGGAACCAGGAAGTGAGCGAAAGCACTGAAGGAAGACTGCTAGCGGAGGAAGCTGCAGTCGAATGTGAGGCGTGAGTAAAGAAAAATGTCGCACCTTCTTTGGCCGACCCCAGCCCAATACTCTCCCATTGCAGCCAAGTCGAGTGCTGCCCCCCTACCCACCTGCCAGCAGCACCTGCACAGCCACACGGGGAGGGGTGTGGGGGAGTGGCGGTATTGACCCCCCACCCCTCCCCTCAACATGCAAGGGGAAAACAGTGGAGCAGTTAGCAAGCGGCATAAGGTAACAGCATGTGAAGCGTGCATGAGAGGACGAGTAGTGGAGGGGAGGGGTAACAGCAGCCGAGGAGCAGCACTAGGCACCGGGTGCAGACCCAAGTGTAATATGAAATAATGGGGGCTTATATAGTAATAAGGCTGTAGGGGGGTAGGTTTAACCCGGGGGGGCCGAGGGGGGGGGGGGGGGGGGGTGTACCTGGGATGAGGGGTCTGCACCATGTGGGCTAGGCTGCTTCCAGCGGGATGCTTTTGAAGGAGGCATGCAGAGAGGATGGATGGAATGAGGAGGTGCGAGTGCAGGTGAAGACTTGGAAAAGAGCGACAGCGGAGAGAGGGCATGTGCGTGGACTTAACTGGTACTGCCGGTTGTGGAAGTGACCCTCTCCACCCTCTCTGCTTGGCGCCAACCAAGCACCACTCCACAGCACCCGCTGCACAGGCGCCTGCAGATCCGCCAATTGAGGCCCTGATGGAGGAATGGGGGAGGGGAAGGGGGAGAGGGGAGGGGGGGAAGGGGGGATGGGGGGAGAGACACAGAGAGGTAGTTAAGGCCAGGAGAGAGTGGTGGGCGCATGAACAGTGCGACGTGAACAGTGCAGGCACAGAAGAGAGGCGAGGGGAAAGCAGGACCACTGGAGGAGCAGCCACACTCACAAGTCACAGACGAAGCGTCTTTTGGGCTTAACCTGGGAGGACGTTACCTGGGGTGGGGGGGGGGGGGGCTTTACCGGGGGGGGAATTTACCTGGGGGGGGGGTTATACCAGGGGGGGGCAATACCAGCTGTGATTCGTCTGTGGCTTGTGAGCGTGGTGGCAACCAGTGGTAAGTTTCGAAACAGAGGAACAGTGGAGTGAGATGATGGTGGGGGCATGAGCAGCAAAGGGAGATATTCGGGCCATCATGCAAGTGCAAAGAAGTGGAAGGGCCTCGAGGAGAGAGAGAGCGGGGGTAATTAGCTGTTAAATTGATTTGCTGAAGCGTGCCCCTGTGCCCGTCTGCCCCTCCGCACCTCCTCCTACCACTCCTCCTACGGCACCTCCTCCTACCGCACCTCCTACTACCGCTCCTCGTATTATCACACCTCCTCCTTAGGGCCACGGCTGCTGCTGCACCTGAGCGGGTGAGGGGTATGGGACGAGAGGGGCGGGAGAAGAGAGTGAGGCAAGGGGCAAGGTGCAGCAGAGAATTGAACTGAACAGAAGAGGGGGAGAACTATGCAAGGAGTGGTGGGGAGAAGAATACCGCACCTTCTTTGGCCGACCCCAGCCCGATGATGTCCCATTGCAGTCGAGTCGAGTGCTGCTCCCCCCTCTCCCCCCGCCAGTGCCACCTGCACGGCCACAAGGGGAGGGGTGCAGGGGAGTGGCGGTGTTGACCCCACATCCCCCCCCTCAACGTGCAAGGGGAAAACTGTGGAGCAGTTAGCAAACGGATGGAGGCAACAGCATGACACGAGATGGGTGCATGGGTGGGTGGGTGGGTGGTGCAGGGAGGGGTGATGGCCGCCGAGGGAGGAAGGGACCACTGGAGCAGCACTAGGCACACGGTGCAGACCCAAGGTATTATGTAGTCGCGGGGGGGATATCTAATAATAAGGCTAGGGGGGTAGGCTTAACCTGGGGGGGTGGGGTAACCTGGGGGAGGAGAGGGGGGGGGGGGGGGGTTAACCTGGGATAGGGGGTCTGCACCGTGCAGGCTAGGGTGCTTCCAGCGGCTTCCTTTTGAAGGAGGCATGCAGCGAGGATGGATGGAATGAGAAGGTGCGAGTGCATGTTAGAGGGCCTGTGAGAGTGCACGTGAAAGTGTTCTCAAATCACAGGTGGCAAGTGCTAGCATGAAAGCAGCGACAGTGAGGATAGGGCGTCTGTGTGGACTTAGCTGTTGTGGCTGTCTGTGGCGTTGAGCCTCTCAGCCTCTCAGCTTTCCGCCACTCCAGCACGTCACAGCACCCAGCAGCCACTGCACAGGCGCCTGCAGATCCGCCAGCAGAGACCCTGCCTCGGGCTGGGAAAGGGGGAGGGGAGAGGGGTTGGGGGGGGGAGAGAGGCATGTAGTAAGGCCCAGGAGAGAGTGGTGGGCGCATGGGAAGTGGGGTGTGCAGGCAAAGCAGAGCGGTGGGAAAGCAGGCCCACTGGAGCAGCGGCACTCACACGCCACAGACGAAGGGCTAAGGGGAGGTTTACAAAAGGTTTGAAGGGCTTAACCAGGGATGGCTTTACCGTTGGGGGGGGTGTTACCGGGGGAGGGGGGGGGGGGGTGGGGTTTGGGTACCGGGGGTGGTTGGACTATACCGGGGGGGGGGGGGGGGTTATACCAGCTGTGGTTCGTCTGTGGCATGTGAGCGTGGTGGCAACCAGTTGTGAGTTTTGAAACAGTGGAGAGGTGAAGGAACAGCGGAGTGAGATGATGGTGGGTGGGGGCATGAGCAGCAAAGGGAGGATATTCTGCCAATCATGAAAGTGCAGATGACAGATGGTGTGGAAAGGCAAGGGCCTAGAGGAGAGCGAGGGGGTACTTAGCTGTTCGATTGCTCTGCTGAAGCATGCCCCTGTGCCCGTCTGCCCCTCCGCTCCTCCTCCTACCACTCCTCCTCCTACCACTCCTCCTCCTACCGCACCTCCTCCTACCGCACCTCCTCCTAAGGCCCATGGCTGCTGCACCTGAGCGGGTGAGGGGCGTGGGACGAGTGGGGCGGAGGAGGGGAAGAGAGTGAGGCGAGGGGCAAGGTGACGCAGAGGACTGAAACAGCGGAGAGGGAGAACTATGAGAGGCACGGGGGCGGTAGTGACGAAGGAGAAAGTAGGGAGGGGCTCATTACCTGCTGCCGCTGCTGCTGCTGCTGCTGCTGCTGCCGCCGCCGCTGCTGCTGCCGCTGCTGCTGCTGCTGCCGCTGGTGCTGGCATGGCGGCAGGCAGCTAGCTTGTGTGCCGCCCCTCCTTGCATGGCTGCACGGGCTGCCACAAGAACTGCTGGGAGGGAGGGAGTGGGAAAGAGAGGAGGGAGGAGAGATGGCCAGTGGGTAGGGAGACGGGCAAGGAAGAGACTAGGAGGATGGAACGTCATTTGCAATGAAGGACATGCAAGCAATACTCTAGACTGAAACAGCAGATGGCGAGATAACGACCAAAGCCGACGGGAAGGGAGACATCCTCACCTGCAGCTGAGCCCTCCCCCCTTCCCCATACTCCCTATTACAGCTCCACGCGCTGCCCCCCCTCCCCCCACCTGCACGGCCACAAGGGGAGGGGTGCGGGTTGACCCCGCACCCCTCCCCTCCACGTGCAAGAGATTCTCTCCAGAAGGGCTAGTGGAGGGGTGGGTGGTGCAGGGGCGAGCGAAAGAAGCGGATGGAGGGGGCAGGGAGCCAACAATGAGAGGGGCATGGCAGGAGAGGGACCACGCAGCAGCCTAGCCGTATGGTGCAGACCCAGGGGCGCTAGTCTAGTAAGTCTCTAGAGGGGGGTGGGGGGGGAGTACCAGGAAAAAGTTGGGGGGGGGGGGTACCAGGAATTGGAGGGGGGGGAGGGGTCTGCAGCATGTAAGCTAGGCTGCTGCAAGGTTCGATTTGAAGGGAGGGGGCATGCAGCATGCAGCATGAGTGCATGTGGAGTGGAGTGAGCGAGGGTGACAGCAAGCATTCAAAGGCTTGAACACAGCAAGAGCGAGGAGAGAGGGTGTGCGCGTACTCAACTGATTGTAGCGCTGTGTGCTTGTGGCTGCTGCACGCTGGCCCGCCAGCAGACATGGCGCAGCAGACTGTGCGCCCGCCCGCCAGCAGTAGGGCTGTGGAGGAGGGCGGAGGAAGGGGGGGGGGGGAGGAGGGGGGAAGGGGGGGTAGGAGGAGGGGAGGAGAGGGAGTGACAGAGGGGCAGTTAGGTCCAGGCATGGAGGGGTGGGCACGTGGGAGTTGAGCTGTGCGAGCAATGCGAAACGGCGAGGAGAAGAGGACCACTGGAGCAGCCACACGCACAAGTCACAGACGAAGGGCTCGTGGAGGGGGTTAACCGGGGAGGAGGGTGGGGGCAACCGGGGGGGGCGGGAGGGGGGGGGGTAACCGAGGGTAACCGGGGGTGGGGTGGGGGAGGCTTAACCGAGGAGAGGCTGTAAACGGCGAAGTTAACCGTGGGAGGGAGGGCCTACTTACCCACTGTGTCTCGTCTGTGGCACGCGAATGCCGCTGCAACCAGTGGTCGAATTTCGGATGGTGGAGAGGGAGAGCAGACGACGAGCAGGAAGAGCGCGAGAAGTGAAGAGCGCGAGAAGTGAAGAGCGCGAGAAGTGAAGAGCGCGAGAAGTGAAGAGCGCGAGAAGTGAAGAGCGCGAGAAGTGAAGAGCGCGAGAAGTGAAGAGCGCGAGAAGTGAAGAGCGCGAGAAGTGAAGAGCGCGAGAAGTGAAGAGCGCGAGAAGTGAAGAGCGCGAGAAGTGAAGAGCGCGAGAAGTGAAGAGCGCGAGAAGTGAAGAGCGCGAGAAGTGAAGAGCGCGAGAAGTGAAGAGCGCGAGAAGTGAAGAGCGCGAGAAGTGAAGAGCGCGAGAAGTGAAGAGCGCGAGAAGTGAAGAGCGCGAGAAGTGAAGAGCGCGAGAAGTGAAGAGCGCGAGAAGTGAAGAGGGGGGGAGCGCGAGAAGTGAAGAGCGCGAGAAGTGAAGAGCGCGAGAAGTGAAGAGCGCGAGAAGTGAAGAGCGCGAGAAGTGAAGAGCGCGAGAAGTGAAGAGCGCGAGAAGTGAAGAGCGCGAGAAGTGAAGAGCGCGAGAAGTGAAGAGCGCGAGAAGTGAAGAGCGCGAGAAGTGAAGAGCGCGAGAAGTGAAGAGCGCGAGAAGTGAAGAGCGCGAGAAGTGAAGAGCGCGAGAAGTGAAGAGCGCGAGAAGTGAAGAGCGCGAGAAGTGAAGAGCGCGAGAAGTGAAGAGCGCGAGAAGTGAAGAGCGCGAGAAGTGAAGAGCGCGAGAAGTGAAGAGCGCGAGAAGTGAAGAGCGCGAGAAGTGAAGAGCGCGAGAAGTGAAGAGCGCGAGAAGTGAAGAGCGCGAGAAGTGAAGAGCGCGAGAAGTGAAGAGCGCGAGAAGTGAAGGGGGGGGAGCGCGAGAAGTGAAGAGCGCGAGAAGTGAAGAGCGCGAGAAGTGAAGAGCGCGAGAAGTGAAGAGCGCGAGAAGTGAAGAGCGCGAGAAGTGAAGAGCGCGAGAAGTGAAGAGCGCGAGAAGTGAAGAGCGCGAGAAGTGAAGAGCGCGAGAAGTGAAGAGCGCGAGAAGTGAAGAGCGCGAGAAGTGAAGAGCGCGAGAAGTGAAGAGCGCGAGAAGTGAAGAGCGCGAGAAGTGAAGAGCGCGAGAAGTGAAGAGCGCGAGAAGTGAAGAGCGCGAGAAGTGAAGAGCGCGAGAAGTGAAGAGCGCGAGAAGTGAAGAGCGCGAGAAGTGAAGAGCGCGAGAAGTGAAGAGCGCGAGAAGTGAAGAGCGCGAGAAGTGAAGAGCGCGAGAAGTGAAGAGGGTGCGCAGCTGAGCTGAGGAATTTCGCACCGCGCCGGAGGGGAGGCGAGGCCGCTGCACCACATCCCCTCTGAGTGCGTCTGATCCCCCCAGGGTGAGTTGTCACGAGTCCTCCGACCAGCCCCAACCGCTCCTGCGGTTTGGTGGAGTGAGGGAGTGGGGAAGGGGCGAAGGGGATAAGCCACGGGAGGGGCAGCGTGGCTGGCAAGCGAAGGGCAGAGGGAAGGGAAAGAGCGGCGCTTCAAGGAAACGAAGCATGTGGTGGTTGGGTCGAACGGACAGATTGGAGCGTGTCAATGAGTGCGGGAGTGGGCGAGGGGCGGCATGCCACGGTCGGCTAGTAGGCGTGGGTATGTACGCATGGGTATAGGGTGGGCGAGGAGGAGGGGGAGGAGCCCACGGCACATGGCGCGGCAGCAGAGGCTGGAGCGACGGAGGCCGGGCTTGGAAACGCTTGGCGCGTTCTCGGTGCGGAATACGACGCGATGGTGACGGCGTTGGCGATAGCGACGACGATGGCGACGGCGATGGCGATGGGCGACGGCGACGGTGACGATGGCGAAGACGCCGGTGGCGACGGTGATAATGGCGGGTGAATCCTGCACGATGAGAAAAATAACAAGCACTAGAATTGAAACGGCAACCCATGAATATGTAGCGGCGCAAATCGTCAAAGACCGTGCACCACGAGGACGCGAGAGGTTGTATGTTACCTTGAGACGAATGGATGCCGAGGCGGCGAACAAACGTGGGACGACCGTTTATCCGCGAGGTCGGCGACAAACGCCATCGCTTATCCGCGAATTCCGCGACGAATCTCGCCGTTTATCCGCGAGTTTCGCGACGGATTTCGCCCGCCGTTTATCCGCGAGTTTCGCGACAAATCTCGCCGGTTAACGACGAACTTCGCCGGTCCGCGACGAATCTCGCCGTTCATCCCGAGTTCCGCGACACGTACACTTCGCTCGCCGGTTCCGCCTTTCAGAAGCTGTAAATTTCGCAGCGTTGTCTGATCGTGCTACCATTGCCATAGCGCCCTGGTTGGGAAAGGGGCTTGCTGGTGTGTGTGTGGGGTGTAGCACGCTGCATGCCTGGGAAAAGTGTGGCGGAGTGGGCTGTTGCCTGCGGAAACTAATTGGGCGGAGCGGAGCGGAGTGGCAAAGCTGCTCTGCTTGCTTCGTTCTGCTGCCTTCACTGCTTCCGCCCGCATCCCATCCGCCAGAGCCTGGCGAAATCAGGGAATGGTTCCGCGGAACCCCAGTGTAGACTAGGCAAATTGCAGCCACTCCCCGCCAATCTTGAGGAGATAGGCGGAGCGGCTGCATCCGCTTGCGTCCGAAATCACGCGGCTTTGCGCTCCGCCCTAGACGCGTAATTTTGGTTCCAAGAGCGGCGGCAAGCCTAACGAGAACAAATTCCGAAAACGAAGAATTGCGAAGAATCTCAATTCGTCGCCAAGAGGAATGTTATTTGCGAAATCCGTGATTCTCGCCGCACCCAGGGCAGCAGGGCCGTTGCATGCTAAAAGCGGCAACTTCCCCCAAACATCTGACAAAGAGAGGATGTCCCTCAGGATTAGAAGGGTTCGTAAGAGCGCCTCCCCTGAACGCCTGGCACCAATTAGGGGAATCCAATGAGCTCTGGAGGGTTTGGAAGCATTTTGCCGACTAGCGAAAGGGAGAAGTTTTTGCGAAAATCTAAGTGCGTTTCCTAGAGGGAAGAATGGTGACCGGCGAAAACAGTGACTGTCGCCACACCCAGAGGGAGGAATGGTAGCCGTTGAGCGATCTGAAAGAACTGAAGCGCTTCGATCAATATTCTGACATGAAGCCGGATCTGCGCAGAAGTTTGTAAATTCGCCCAGGGAATTTCTACAAACGTTATGGGCAGGGTACGGCGTAAAAACTGGAATGTTAGGAAGTGCAGTTCCTTGAGTCCAACTTGCCTGACATATGGTCAGACGTGCTAATGGCTGTGAATCGATAAATGTTTCTAGTACGTTCCACCAGTTGGAGCTACACATGCCTGTTGGTACATTTAGAATTGAAAATGTTTGGCATAATCCATTTGAGAAGATGGTTTGTAATGTGAGCAGGGCCTCAGATTGATTTTAAGTCGTCCTGATTGCAAAGGACTACCCGTGGTTTTTTCCCTGAATTTTCAGAGGTCCCCAAATTTGTTTGCTGAGGAGTCAGGATTGTGTGGGACAAAAATGCTGAATGGGCAGAGATAGATGGTTTTTTTTCCCTGATTGACAAAATGAAGAGGAAATTGAGAAGCAAAGAACTTTACTCGAAATTATCAAGATCATCCACATTGTCACTACTACCTACACCCCACTCTGCCTCTTCTGCTACTACCTTCCCCTTCTTCGAGCCGTCTTGCTTGGCCTGAGGGGTGTTGTTGAAGGGCTTACGCTTCTTGTAAGCGCGCCATATCTCCACCACAGCATCATAGTCCGGGTCATAGTCTAACAGTGACATGCACATTAGGTCACTAAGCCTAGTATCTTTAAGGCTGCCACGCAGCCAGCTCTTAATCACATTCTGCCTAGAGAATCCACGCTCGCACTCCACAGTGCTGAGAGGAAGCACTGCCACCGCCATCCACAGCTTCATCAGGTTCGGGTAAGAATCCTGCCAGTCAGGTGTCTTCAGCATGGCCGTGAGCCCAGCGTGAAAACTTCGGTCGGCCTGGGGAAGAGCAGCAATGACAGGGCAGAAATGAGGCAGCTCTCTCATGGCTGCACGCTTGTCAATGCCAGGAAGAATCTCCTCTGCCTCATCTGCACGATAAAGAGTAACAAGGGAGAAGAACCAATCAAGGCACTGGGCCTTGCGCGCAGCTCTCTCCAGGTTAGGGGGCCAGAGGTTCACAGAGAAGAGGCGGCAGCCAGAGAGCTTCCCCAGATCACCCAGCCGCTCCTTCAAGTTCGACACCATGCCTGTCGCCATGGCCACACAGAGCCTCTGGCACGCGTCGTGATTGCCCTCCCCCGGATAACCAGGCAAGCGATCTTCATGCAGCACGAAGGTAAAGGAAGCCGGACGACCATCGGAGTCAACCTCCTCAGCTGTGACCTCGCGAGAACCGCCCGGGCCGTGACGCGTGAGGAAGATGGTGAGACGGTCCTTCGGTCCCCCGCCGAAGTCTTCGGCGTCCCCGTAGCGGCTCTGCAGCAGGGTTGTTGTGCGGATGATCTGCGCGTGGACGGCCGAGTACTCCAGCTGAGGTTGGGGCGGGGAAGAGAGGGAGGGGAGGAAGGGAGGGGAACGTGTATATATACAGAACCAGGGTGGTTTAATAACGACTCATTGTCACAGTGAAGAAAAACTCACCTGACGCTCCTGGAAGGACTTGTTGAGGATGTTTAGCTGCTCCAGTACGTCAGCAAGGAACATGACAAGGAACCAGAAGCGGTAGCTTGTCACTATCCTGGAGAGCCGGGTATCAGTCCACTCCGAGAGCATGACGACGATGGCGGGTAGAACCTTGACTAACCTAATGACAGCCTCACCGCGGGAGAGCCATCGAATGTTATGAATGCCTTGACGTTCAAGGTTTGTCGAGGTGAAGATTTCCTGCAGGTCCAAGAAGCGCTGGTGCCATGGGCCGGATCGTCCGAAGTACTCAGCGAGCTCCTTGATGACATCGTCAATCATCTTGAACGCTGGCAAGGATTCTGCCGCTGCTTTAGCTGCCAGTGCCTCTCTGGAGGGTGGGACAAAACGAGAAAAAAATGGTACATGTTGGGCCTTGGGAGTGGGGTAATACACATTGCACATGCGGAAACCACCAGTGCACTTAACCCGAGGTACAGTAGCGGTAAACAACAACGCTCACCTGTGCGCAATACAGTGACACGACACCAAGTGCGGAATTTGCATCCGCAGCCGCGTCACAAGCCCAGCCTTCGACCCCATCATAACAGCAGCGCCATCGGTGCTTATGCCCACGACCCGCCGGAGGTCGACACCGATGGCGTTGATGTGACACAGGAGTAGAGCGAGCAGAGAGGCATCGTCGGCCTTGTCGACGCTCAGCAGGGCCAGGTATTCGCAGACGACTTGGTTCTCGCGGATGAAGTGCGCAAACACGATGAGGTGCTTGCCGTGGCAGCGGTCTGTGCTCTCATCGATGCTCAAGCCGATGAACGGGCTCCTCAGAAGGTGGTCCAACTGTGTTGTCTGCAGTCAGGTTGCCATGGACTGTGTGAACTCCCCGTACCCATAACTGCAATAGCCAAGGGCATACACATAATTAGTATGCTGAAATATGAACATTCGTTATGCATGATAGATGCATGCAAAACAAAATCAAACAACACACAAGAATACCTGTTGTAGTACGTGCCATAGGTCTGCTCGGGGAAGTGCTCGTGCCGACGTTGGCTGAGGTAGCGCACGAGTCTGATCCAGTTTTCCATCGGCTCGTTGCCTTTGCAGCAGAAGTAGAGCGCGTCAAGCAGCGCAGTCACACGTTCCTTCTCCAGGTCTGCGGCTTGAGGAAGCTGGTCGATCCGCAGCTGGTTGGTTGCGTCCTGCAGCAGCGCCTGCTGCTTTGTCACGGCTAGGCGATGCTTGGCCGACCCCGCGTGCCTGTTGAATGCCTGCGACTGCACGTCCGTCAGCCCTGCGCCGCGTTTGCCGGCTTTCCCTCTGAGTCCTGCATGCTCAAGGCACAGACTGCATTTAAACGCAGGGAATCCAGCGTCAGTCTTAACGATCATAAGCCAGGGAAACCGCTCGGACCACCGCGTGTTAAACCTGCTGAGGGCTTCGCCGTAGACATCCTCAGGCGACTGAAACTTGTCGGGTGCAGCGGTAGTGTCGTCGCCATCGCTGTCGTCATCTTCGCACATGGCTGAGGGGCGGGGCGTCGTCGGCTGACCGCGTGGGAAATTCCACAGGGTGGATTGCCGGTATCGACCGGCAGGTTTCACGGGGGTGGCGGAGGCTGGACTACAGGTAAAATCATTAGCCAGGGATGGGCCTAGAATAGGCGCGGAATTCGGCTCGACAACACCTTGAGAAGTAGAGGCGACCGACTGCGAGGCGCATAGGGGGTTTTGTTCCATCGGAGGGTTACGAGGAGTCTTCGGAAAATACCTAGCGTCGAAAGGAGCATGTCAAGCCCAGTGGGGGCTTCGGCACGGTGACTGCCGCTGTCGTCGCCATCGTCGTCCAATTCCACGTCGCCTGACTCAGGCATGTGGACTGGGCTCACTAGGGTGGTCGACGAGTAGAGACACACGACGGAGTGGTTTTAAACAACGACACTGCGGGGGGAAGGTCACGCTGGGAGTGGCTAACGCAGTGGCTGTTCCTACCGTGGGAAGAAACAGATGAACAAGACGCAGGGGGGAAAGGGAACGATGGCGAGGCGCGAACACTTTGCCAGCCATGCACAGTTGGTTTCCTGTATTCCTGAATCTGGACCGAAACTAGCGCGGCACATGCGCGTCGGCGTCGAACCCGAGTGTGGTGTTGAAGCTGAGTCATCATCGCTGGCGTACACGTGATTGGCTATCCAGGCAGCATTTACAAAGGCAACGAATCCACGCATGCAGGCAAACTGGGTGCTGGCCGACACTTTGAGAAGGACCAATGCCGCGAGGTAGCGCGGCAACATGTGACTCAGCAAACGATGTCTGCAGGCGGGAACCTGGTAGTCAGGCCAGTTTTGAGGGGGAATATGCGCATATCGCTGTAATTCTGGGGGGGACCCGCAAATCACGCCTTTGACAAAATCAGAACCCATGCTCGATACAAGTCTGAAAATTCAGGATCCATTACAAAAAAAAACTGACCTGACAGATATCCCTTACAAAAAAACCCTGAAATTTCAGGATATGCCAAAAACAAAACCCTAGCAAATCAGATCTGGTACCCCTCAACACCCTGTTTTTTTCCTGATTCAGGAAAAATTTCCTGACTTCTGGGGGCCTGAATGTGAGTCATGTAACTACTAGCACTGCCTGTATGCAAGCTGTTATACAATACGATCAAATCAAACCCTTAAGAGTATGCATATCGCAATAATGACAACAATGGAACAACTACAAAAGGGCACCATAGGTAGGTACCATAGAAAGAGGAGGGTTGTGATTTGTGATGGATTCTACACTCCGCTTATGGAAGATATTGTCTACACCGAGAAGTATTGGAAAATACGAGATCTGATCTAACCAGTCGGCCAGATGTTCGAAACCAGTGCCCCCTGACAACATGTAATTTCCCGCCAACTGACAGCATCCTGTCAGCTGGGGTGATAGGCATCCGTGCCTGGCACCATTGCTTCTGCCTTGTCTGCCGAGATCGTTTGCGTCTCGCTGCTCAGCGCAATCCATGTTTCGGTTTTTTTTTTATGACAGAGATTCTACCAGTTTCGCCAGGTAGCTCATGGAGTCGCCACGCTCCCGTCGCGTCCTTAGCCGCGCTGAATCGTTCGTATCGTTCTTCCGCCGTCTCGCGTCCAATCTAACGTTCAGCTGGGTGAATCCCCTCGTCGCTCTTGGCGCTCAACGCCAGTTGTCACCCAGAGATTTGCTGCCTCTGCCTCCTGACGTGGAGCCACAAGTGTGTGGTCAGCTCCTGTGGTCGCGATGGGAGGAGGAACGAGCAGCAGGCGATGATGCAATGCGCGGATTTCGCAGCGAAGGAGAGACGAGTAGTGCATCAGGAGAACCATCTCGTTCGGACCATCTTGGCGGTCTTGCAGATTCCGCTCTGGACGGACCGTCGCGAGCCACTCAACGGGGGCCGCCGTCGCTGCTGCGATGCTTGGTGGCAATTTTCGGCGCGGAATACATCATGGTCGGCGGAATCAAGGTGAACGACGGTTAGAATCTACGAATTCAAGGTTCTAACAGGCGGAATTAAGGTCATTGTTTTGGAAATACGTCAATTTCTGGCGTTGTGAAGCTGACATAGTGTATGGATGATGCATGGGTGATGCAGGGGTGATGCACGGGTGATGCATGGGTGATGCACGGGTGATGCATGGGTGATGCACGGGTGATGCATGGGTGATGCATGGGTGATGCACGGGTGATGCATGGGTGATGCACGGGTGATGCATGGGTGATGCACGGGTGATGCACGGGTGATGTATGGGTGATGCATGGGTGATGCACGGGTGATGCATGGGTGATGCATGGGTGATGCACGGGTGATGCATGGGTGATGCACGGGTGATGCATGGGTGATGCATGGGTGATGCACGGGTGATGCATGGGTGATGCACGGGTGATGCATGGGTGATGCATGGGTGATGCACGGGTGATGCATGGGTGATGCACGGGTGATGCATGGGTGATGCACGGGTGATGCACGGGTGATGTATGGGTGATGCATGGGTGATGCACGGGTGATGCACGGGTGATGTATGGGTGATGCATGGGTGATGCACGGGTGATGCACGGGTGATGCACAGGTGATGCATGGTTGCCATCCTGAACCTCACGCCTACTGTTCCTTCCCTCTTCCCTTCCCCCCATTCACGTCCTCCTCCCCCGCCTTCGCTCCCCCTGTTCCTACCTCCCCCTCCCTCTTCCCCAACCCCCCCTTCTCCCCCTCAGCTCGTGAACGATGCTCTGGCATTCGCCGGCCCGCTGCTGCTGCACCACCTCCTCGCCTTCCTTGACCGCAGCCCCACCCACGCACACGCACTCCAGCATGCTGCTCTGCACACGCGCAGCACAGTTGGTAATCGCGGGCTACGTTCGCTCTCTCGCTCTCCTCCCTGCGCCGAGCTGCTCCTCCCTTCCCACCGTCCCTAGTGTCGTCCTCCAACTCCTGATTTGTGTATCCTTCCAGCCGCCCTTTCCGTCCTCCACCTCATGACTGCTCCCCTCTGTTCCCCTCTGCTCCCACGTTGCTTGCAGTGGGCGCAGCAGGGGCGACAGCAGTGCCTGCAGTGTCTGCTGCAGCCATGCCATGGTCGTACGGCCTGGCATGCGCCCTCGCCATCGGTGCCACGTCCGCCCTCAGGTGCGTGTGCCATCATCCTCAGGCGCGTGTGCCATCATCCTCAGGTGCGTGTGCCATCATCCTCAGGTGCGTGTGCCATCATCCTCAGGTGCGTGTGCCATCATCCTCAGGTGCGTGTGCCATCATCCTCAGGTGCGTGTGCCATCATCCTCAGGTGCGTGTGCCATCATCCTCAGGTGCGTGTGCCATCATCCTCAGGTGCGTGTGCCATCATCCTCAGGTGCGTGTGCCATCATCCTCAGGTGCGTGTGCCATCATCCTCAGGTGCGTGTGCCATCATCCTCAGGTGCGTGTGTTATCACCCTCAGGTGCGTGTGCCATCATTCTCAGGTGCGTGTGCCATCATTCTCAGGTGCGTGTGCCATCATTCTCAGGTGCGTGTGCCATCATCCTCAGGTTGTGCCGTCATCCTCAGGTCCTCAGGTGCATATGCCATCATCCTCAGGTGCGTGTGCCATCATGCTCTCGCTGCAACATCCTAGATTTTTGTCAGCCTGTAGTATGATCGGTGTGAGGAATGATCCATCATAGAGTAGCCTCTGGGTTGCAAGTCAAGTTGAAGACTTGTTGACCCTTCTGCAAGCACTCACCTCTTCTTAGAGCCGTGATGGTCTCAGATACCTCCCCATATCCCGTGTCCTCATATCCCGTGTCCTCATATCCCGTGTCCTCATATCCGTGTGATCTTCACATCAGGGCCTTCCTAGGCGCGCACTACTCGTACCGCCTGGCTCGCATGGGGCTCAAGCTGCGAGCAGCCATCACCACGTGCGTCTTTGCCAAGGTACCTCACCCTTTGCTTCTCTCTTCTGAATTCCTCAACCACTGCTTTTCTTGTATTTTCTAGAAGGGGGCTAAATCGCTTTGGCCATGTCAGTGACGTGGGTCCGTCCCGTCCCCTTCCACCCGCCAAGGTGCTGGCAGTGAGTGTGGCGCAGAGGGGATCATTTGAGGGCGGCGAGGTGCAGACACTCATGAGCGTCGACGCTGACAGGCTCGTCAACCTCGTTATGTCCCTGCATGACCTGTGGGGGTGAGGCATGTCCCTGCACGATGGCCGATGGGTGGTGGCGGGTGGTGGGTGGTTATTGGCAATGACTAGCGGTGATGAGCGGTGGCGAGCGGTGATGGGCGGTGGCGGGCAGTGGTAGGCGATGGCTGGCGGTGACGGGCGATGACGGGCAGTGACGGGTGGTTACGGGCGGTGACGGGTGGTGGTGACGGGCAGTGGCGGGCGATGGCGGGCGGTGGCAGGCGGTGGCGGGTGGTGACAGGCGGTGGCGGGCGGTGACAGGCGGTGGCGGGGAGTGACGGGCGGTGGCGGGCGGTGACGGGCGATGATGTGCGGTGGTGATGGGCGGTGAAGGGCGGTGGCAGGCGGTGACCGGCGGTGGCGGGGAGTGACGGGCGGTGTCGGGTGGTGTCCGGCGATGACTGGCGGTGACAGGCGGTGGCGGGCGGTGGCAGGCAGTGACGGGTGGTGGGCGGCGGTGGCGGGCGGTGAAAGGTGGTGACCGGTTGTGCGGGGGGACGGGCGGTGACAGGCGGTGGTGGGCGGTGGCGTGTGGTGGCGTGTAGTAACTGGCGGTGGGCGGGAGTGGTGATGGGCGGTGACGGGTGGTGACGGGCTTTGCGCGGGGATGGGTGGTGACTGGCAGTGAGGGGCGGTGACGGGTGGTGGCGGGTGGTGGTGGGCGGTGACAGGCGGTGACGGGTAGTGCCGGGCAGTGACGGGTGGTGGTGACGGGCGGTGACGGGCAATGGTGACGGGTGGTGACCGGCGGTGACCGGCGGTGGCGGGTCGTGACGGGCGGTGAAGGGCGGTGACGGGTGGTGGCGGGCGGTGGCTGGCGACAGCGGGGGGTGACGGGCGATGACGGGCGGTGGCAACGGGCGGTGGCGGGAGGTGGTGGGCGTTGACGGGCGGTTGTGGGTGGTGACGGGCGGTGGGCGGTGGGCAGCGGGTGGTGATGGGCGGTGACGGGTGGTGGCGGGTGGTGATGGGCGGTGACAGGCGGTGGGTGGTGGCGGGAGGTGACGGGCGGTGGCGGGTGGTGGCGGGTGGTGGCGGGCTGTGACGGGCGGTGGCGGGCGGTGGGGGGCAGTGACGGGCGGTGACGGGCGGTGACGGGCGGTGACGGGTGGTGACGGGCGGTGAGGGGTGGTGAGAGGCAGGGGGCGGTGATCGGCGGTTATGGGTGGGGACGGGTGGTGACGGGTGGTGGGTGGTGGCGGGCGGGGATGGGCGGTGACGGGTGGCACGACCTGCCACCTCGTGTCTCCATGCCTTCTCGCAAAAATGGGCCGACCCAAAACTGCTTCTTCCGTTCTTTCCCCTCTATCTCTGTATCTACTCCCCTGTTTTACCCTGCTCCTCTCCCCGCTCTGTCTCGTGCTCACAGTCTGCCTCTTCAGATTCTTGTGGCGCTGCTGCTGCTCTACTGGCAGGTATGGCTCATACTTTACCGAGGCGTTTTACAGCCGCCCAACGCCTTTCCCTTGTTACCCCGTACCACGCTGTGTGCTCTGCTCGTCCTCTTTAAGACCCAATCCCTAAGCAGCACATTGTTACCCCGTGTGGTCAGAGCAAACCCCTCATCGTCCTCCATTCCTGCGTTGCCCCCTTTCGCTGATTTCAGGTGAGTTACGCCTTTCTGGCTGGCCTTGCTGTTGTTCTCCTCCTCATCCCAGGTGTTCGTCTGCTCGCCCATGAGAATATCTGTGCATGCTGCGGATGTGTACGCACACTGGCTGCTTCCACACTTCCTGGCCTGCTGCTCCATGCATGACTTGCTTTGGCTGCTGGATCCCCTCTCACAGAGGATGCGATGGCACATGAAACATGTGACATGTGCCACGCCCTGTGTGCCTTGTGTCTGGTGCCTGTGCCTGGTTGTTCTGTGCTGTGTGCCGCGTGCAGTGAACCGGTGGCTAGCGGATCGCATAGGAGCAGCGAGCAAGCAGATGATGGCCAGCAAGGACGCCAGGTGAGCGAGGGGGCTGACATGCCGCGTCACGCATGCTCGTGCGTTGCTTCGTGCATGATGCATCTACTAGGCTGCACGGTGCTGTGATGATCCAAGGACATGTCTCGTGCTCTCCATGCCACGTCACCATGCCACGTCTCCCTGCCATGTCATCAGGGTGCAGGCGATGCAGGAGCTGTTGGACCACATGGCGTCAGTGCGGGCCATGGCCATGGAGGGCGCTGTGCTCAAGCGCGTCAACGCTGCCAGGCGGCAGGAGCTGTCAGCGCTAGCGGTACGTGTGGTGGGTGCTTGGCATGGGCTGGTGGATAGCTGGCATGGCATCTCAGGGGGCCGTGATGCTGTGAATCTCTCATCACGCGCAATGCTCTTCTCCTGACCCTTTAAAGCCCACTCTTCCCTCCCCACCCCCCTTTCCCCCCTTTCTCCCTGCCCCCCACACGGTGCAGGTGCGCAAGTACCTGGACGCGTGGTGTGTGTATTTCTGGGCGTGTACGCCCGTGCTCTTCTCCCTCTCCACCTTCTCCTCGCTCCTCCTCATCGGCCGCTCCCTCAACGCCCCCGTGGTGCGTACACAAGCTCACACAATGCAGCAGCATGGATGCGTTCGTGGTTTCAACTGTGGCACCCTGAGAGCCTTGTGTCACTGCCTCTCTATAATCTCAGGAATTCTGTCGCTCTCGCTCTTTCGCTCACCGCTTCTGCTTCCTCCCCCCGCTGTTCATCTCTCCACTCCGCGCCCCTCCCCTCAGGTGTTCACGAGCCTGGCGCTCTTCAACGTTCTCCTCGGCCCCCTCAACTCCTTCCCCTGGGTTATCAACGGCATTGTCGAGGTATTACTGTTGCTAGCACTGCTGCTCCATTGCATTGCATGTCCCTCCCCCTCATCCGTTATAGGCTGGATGTGTTCTCTTATCTCCATGTCTCCACGCGCGTAAAAGCCCTCACGCCTGCTGTGCACGTTGCGCCTTGCTATGCCCCACTCGTCCACTCCCAGGCGCTCATCTCTGTGCATCGCCTGGAGGCTTTTCTCTGCATCCCCACGACACCCACTGCCTCATTCGCCTCTGCCTTCACCTCCTCCTCGTCTCCCTCACCCCCACACACCTCCTCCTCTTCCCCCACACCATCCCCTACCACCGCACCGGATCCCAGCAGCAGCTCCAAGGCACCCAGAAGCAGTCTACTGCATGCCCTCTTCCCCGTCCTCCACCACCTCCCCTCCTCATCTCCGCCCCTCCATTCCTCCCCCGCAACCTCACCTCTCACAACACCCCTACTCGGGCCCCCCACTGCCACACTGGAGCAGGAGAGGGACGGACAGGCAGCAGGCTGTGAGATGGATGGTGAGGCGCAGAGCATGGCTTTCGATGCAGTGCAGCCGTCCCCACCCCTGGCAGTGCACGTGTGTGGACTCAGCTTCTCCTGGCATGCTCCCACCAGCGCTGGCAGCCAGGGTTTAGACCAGATGACGGGGGCAAGTGCAGCAGACGACGGCTTAGCTGTGGACGGTCGTGCAGGCAGCTGCAGCACTAGGGGTGAGGACAGCAGGAGCACCAGAGGGAGCAGCAGAGGGAGCAGCAGGGGCAGTCAGCACAGCATTGCCTTGCACAACATATGGCTGGACGTGCCAGAGGGGGCGGTTGTGGCCATCGTGGGCAAGGTAGCCTCCTCCCTCCCACCCTGCTCTCTTCCCGTGTTATGTCTACAGCTTGGTATCGTGCCTGCTGGCCCATGAGCGCCCGCCTGTCTCTGTAACTGACTCTTGAGGCGCCTTAAAAGTTCTCCCCTTGTCTCTGTGCTGGTCTGATGCATCTCTCACCCCCTCATCTTCTTTCACCCCCACGCATGCAGGTGGGCAGTGGGAAGTCGTCTCTGCTTGCTGCCATTCTGGGGGAGATGCAACCTGTGACAGTACATGCCATGCCGTGCACGCACACGCATGGTGCAGGGCATGGGAAGGCATGTGCGCACGGCACGTATCGCTCGCCCCGCTCTGCTGCTGTATTGCAGGTCGGCACTCTCGCTCTGTGCTTCTTCCACACCCTATTCAGTCCACCCTCCCCTCGTCTTCCATGCCAGATGCAACTGTCGGTGCTGCTTTGGCAAGTGCGCTGTCCACCCACCCCTCGTCTTCCATGCCCTTCTGCTCTTCCCCCCCCCCCCCCCTGCCAAGCATAGCAGGAGCCATGGGTGTTTTCTGGCAGCATTCGGGAAAATGTGCTGTTCGGGGCTGCATGGGACCCCACCAGGTGAGGGCGGGGGTAGAGGTGATGGTAGCTAACATATGATGGATTGTACGAAGGTTTAGCGATTTATTATGCTGCGATTTATCTGGACATCCCCCATGGCATTGTTCCACCTCAGCAGCACAACATAGTGACCTAGCAGCACCATGCTGTCATGCCAGACTCTCACGTCATGTCATTCCGTCCGCCACCCCAGGTACCAGCAGGTGCTCCGGGCATGAGCCTTGCACAAGGAGGGCACAGCTGCCATGGTGGGGGGAGATGAGGCACTGTCCCACCATGTTTCAATGCTACCATGCTACCATGTTGTCATGCCACACATCCCTATCACCCCTGGAACCAGCAGTCGCTGCATGAGGACATATCTGCGGCGCGATGCAAGAGCCTGATGGAAGAGCCCGATCTTAGGGCCTGATGCAAGGGCCCGATGCAAGGGCCCAATGCAAGGACCCGATGCAAGGACCCGATGCAAGGGCCCGATGCAAGGGCCCGATGGAAGGACCCGATGCAAGGGCCCGATGCAAGGGCCCGATGCAAGGACCCGATGCAAGGGCCCGATGCAAGGACCCGATGCAATGACCCGATGCAAGGGCCCGATGCAAGGGCCCGATGCAAGGACCCGATGCAAGGACCCGATGCAAGGACCCGATGCAAGGGCCCGATGCAAGGGCCCGATGCAAGGACCCGATGCAAGGACCCGATGCAAGGACCCGATGCAAGGGCCCGATGCAAGGGCCTGATGCAAGGACCCGATGCAAGGGCACGATGGTGGGGGGAGATGAGGCACTGTTCCATCATGCTGCGGTGTTGTTGCCATGCCACACATCCCTACGACTCCAGGTACCGGCAGATTTTGGTTGTATGTGCGCGGCACGAGGACACAGCGGGCATGGTGGTGGGCAATGGGGCATTATTCCATCATTCTACCGTGGTGCTGGCATGCCACACATCCCTACAACCCCAGGTACCAGCAGGTGCTACAGGCATGTGCGCTGCATGAGGACACAGCGGGCATGGTGGGGGGAGATGATGCCAGTGTGGGGGACAGGGGGCTCAACCTCTCAGGGGGGCAGCGAGCAAGACTGGCTCTGGCCAGGTGGGTTGGTAGGCATTCGGATGGCTCTGGCTGTGTGGGTGCTAGGGCACGTGGTTGAGAGAGACTGCCACAGGAAGCTGTTGGAGAGGGCACACAGCAGACGTGCACTGTTTGCTAGTCCAAGGTAGCTCAGTGGTCAACAGACCATTGTTCACTGACGTGTATGGCTGCTCAAGTGTCTGTCTGTCTAAATAACTGCTGATCTATGGCTGCTTATCCACCTCTCTGTCTTATTCCCCCCACCCCACCAGAGCCCTCTACTCCTCGGCTGACCTGCTGCTGCTAGATGACCCGCTCTCAGCGCTGGACGCCCGTGTGGCACGCCACGTCAGCGATGTCGCCCTCTTTGGGCCTATCGCAAAGGGCCGCACCATCCTTCTCTGCACGCACTCGCCCCGGGTACCAGCCCCTCATGCAGCACCGCCAGCCCCTTGATGCTTCACTTCCCTTGCTGTGTGCTTCCTGATGCAGCCTCCCTTGTGTGTTTTAAATCCCCTGTGTGTGTGTGTGTGTGTGTGTGTGTGTGTGTGTGTGTGTGTGTGTGAATGTATGTGTGTACTGCCAGGCAGTGCAGCGATCATCTCTGGTGGTCGTGATGCAGCAAGGCAGGATTGTCCATGTGGCACCTCCAGGTGTCCACGTGGCACCTTCTAATTCAGTGGAAGAGATTGGAGCGTGCATGGATGACGGCACAAGCAGGATTGTCCACGTGGATGGCGCGTGCATGGATGATGACACACGCAGTCTGCTGGTTAAGCTGCTGGGCCAGCAACGAGGGGAACACTGTGGGATGAGGGATGGGCGGGAGGGGGGAGACGAGTCTATTGGGGGGCCGGGCGATGGGGTTGAAACGAGGGAGGTGGGGGTGCAGGAGAGGGAGGGGGCAGGGCAGGCTTCTGTGGAGTCACACAATTGTCCCACCACAGAAAGTCAAATCGTGGGTGGTGCGGCTGCCGTTCCAACGGCTGCTGCTGCTGCTGCTGCTGCTGCCGTCGGTACAGAGGGTAGACAGGAGGAAGGGGGCCCTTGTTCAAAGGGCCCAGTAAGGGATGCCCCAGAATGCAGCAGGGAGGGAGAGGAGCAGCAGGCAAATGCGCCATTGGAAGAGGAGGAGAAGAGGGAGTCCGGATCAGTGCAGCTCTCAGTATATTGGTGCGTGCTCTCATTGTCTTTGCCTCCCTGGGCGGTTTGTTGCTTCTGCGCCCACGCTGGTCACTCCCACTTCGTGCTGCTGCTCCTCTCAGTCCATGAGTCCCTGTGTCCGCCTCATGCCGTCCTTGTCTCTAACCACCCCCCCCTCCCCCCTTTAGGAGGAGTCTAAAGTAGCATGTAAAATTCTGGGACGTCACGGAACCGAGATGTTTTGCTCTCCAACCGTTTCAAATCAACATACACCGTACTGTACCTTCTTGTGACGTCAATCGTTATCCCTCCCTTATCGCCCCCCTCCCAGGCGCTACTGCGCTGCGGTGGGGTGGCCTCTGCTGGCGCTTGTGCTGGCCAGCTTGGCTCTCATGCAGGCGTCTCGCAACGGCGCTGACGTCACCCTCTCCCTCTGGACCGATGCTGTTCAGGGTGGGCCCTTGGAGTCTGTGCTGGACCTTTCCTTTCACTTCTTCTCTTACAGCAGCCGCCGGCTCTTGTCCATACGCCCACATCGCTCTGCCCAGTTCCCTCTGCACTCTCTCCTCCTTTCTCCTCTCTTCACTCTCCCCTCTTCTCCCCTCCCTTCTTTCGTTGTTGCAGGCCCCGGCTCCGAAGCAGCAGCGAACGCATTCTACCTGCGCCTGTTCGCCCTGATTGCGCTGCTCAACTCGCTCTTCACGCTCCTCCGCGCCTTCTCCTTCGCGCTCGCTGGCATGACCGCAGCGCACCGCGTGCACCACGCGCTGCTCGCTGCTGTCGTCCGCGCGCCCATGGCGTTCTTCGATGTCAACCCCTCGGGGAGAATCATCAACAGGTGAGGGTGAGGGGGAGAATCATCAACAGGTGAGGGTGAGGGAGAGAATCATCTACAGGTGAGGGTGGGTGGGTGGGTGGGTGGCATGCCGCATCGAGGGCTCTTGTGGTAAGGCCGGCATTGCTACCAACGATGTGAGGATCACTCATTCCGTGACCCACATGTTCCACACTTACTCACACCAGGTTCTTTTCGGAGCGCTACACGACGACTCAGATTCTCACACATGCACACACTTTCCCGGCGCCTCCCTCTCGCTCAGGTTCTCGTCGTACCTGCACACGGTGGACAACTCTCAATAAGTTGGTGCTTCTGCATTTCCCCCACCTTTCCCCACCCACTCACCCCCCCCCTCCCAGGTTCTCATCTGACCTGTACACGGTGGACGACTCGCTGCCTTTCATCGCCAACATCCTGCTCGCCAACGCCTTCAGCCTCACGGGGATCGCCGTGCTGCTCGTGTACACTCAGGCCAGTGCTGCAGCAACGCACCGTTGCACTCGTGTCTGATCGGATGCACTTGAGTGCTCCCAAGTTCCACTCACGGCACTTGTGGCGTTTGCATCCAGCCCTCATGTCTGGCTTTCCCGTCCTCTCCAATGTTCCCTCGTCAAACACCCCCCCCCTTCCCTCCTCTTCAAACTCGCTCCTCCTTTTTGCTTGCCCCCCCTTTCCACCTGCAGTGGTCGTTTCTGCTCCTACTGCTGCCCCTCGCCTACATCTACTCCATCATTCAGGTGAGGCCGTCACATCCCTTCGTTCAGTTTCCAAGTCTGGAGTGCTTCACCTTCGTCCACCTCAACAATCTTTCCCCCGCTTACCCCGCTAACCCGCTGGACAGCTAACCCGCTGACCCGTTAGCCTGCTGACCCGCTAACCCGCTGACCCGCTAACCTGCTGACCCGCTAACCTGCTGACCCGCTAACCTGCTGACCCGCTAACCTGCTGACCCGCTAACCTGCTGACCCGCTAACCTGCTGACCCGCTAACCTGCTGACCCGCTAACCTGCTGACCCGCTAACCTGCTGACCCGCTAACCTGCTGACCCGCTAACCTGCTGACCCGCTAACCTGCTGACCCGCTAACCTGCTGACCCGCTAACCTGCTGACCCTCTAACCTGCTGACCCGCTAACCTGCTGACCCGCTACCCTGCTGACCCGCTAACCTGCTGACCCGCTAACCTGCTGACCCGCTAACCTGCTGACCCGCTAACCTGCTGACCCGCTAACCTGCTGACCCGCTAACCTGCTGACCCGCTGACCCGGGCATGCACCCATACACCCGTGCACCCATGCACACATGCAAGCATGCACCCATGCAACCGTGCACCCCTGCACCCGAGCACTGCTGCACCCCTGCACCCGAGCACCCGTGCACGCGTGTACCCAAGCACCCAAGCACCCGTGCACCCGAGCACCCGAGCACCCGTGCACCCCTGCACCCGAGCACCCGTGCACGCGTGTACCCAAGCACCCAAGCACCCGTGCACCCGAGCACCCGAGAACCCGTGCACCCGAGCACCTGTGCACTCGTGCACCCGTGCAGCTCCAAGAAGGCATGCACAACTTCAAGAAGGCATGCACAACTCTGGGAAGGCATCCACAACTCCGAGAAGGCATGCACAACTCCAAGAAGGCATGCACCCGTGCACCCGAGCACCCGAGCATCCGTGCGCCCGTGCACCCGAGCACCGATGCACCCGAGCACCCGTGCACCCAAGCACCCGTGCACCCCTGCCCCCGTGCACCCCTTCACCCGTGCACCCTTGCACCCATGCAGCTGTGCGCCCGTGCATCCTTGCACCCGTGCACCCCTGCACCCACCCGTGCACCCATGCACCCGTGCACCCGTGCACCCTTGCACCCTTGCACCCGTGCACCCGTGTACCCAAGCATGTGAACGCCCAAGCATGCGAACGCCCAAGCATGCGAACGTCCAAGCATGCGAACGCCCAAGCATGAGAACGCCCAAACATACGAACGCCCAATCATATGACCTGCTGATCCGCCGACCCTCTTTCCCGCTGACCCGCCAAACCGCTGACCCGCTAATTCGCTCACCCGCCCACCTGCTGACCCGCCACTGACCCGCTAACCCTCTAAGCCTTCCTCTCGGACCCAATTATCCCCCCTCCATCCTCGCAGCGTCTCTACCGGCAGTCGTCACGGGAGCTGCGGCGGCTGGACAGCACAGCCAGGTCGCCCGTGTATGCCGCCTTCTCCCTCCTGCTGCACGGCGCCCCCACCATCCGCGCCTTCTCCAACCAGGTCAGATTCTCTGCACAGGCCAGCTGCTCTGCACAGGCCAGCTGCTCTGCACAGGCCAGCTGCTCTGCACAGGCCAGCTGCTCTGCACAGGCCAGCTGCTCTGCACAGGCCAGCTGCTCTGCACAGGCCAGCTGCTCTGCACAGGCCAGCTGCTCTGCACAGGTCAGCTGCTGCCCTGCTTACTCCCTGCGCCCTTCCTTCTTATGCCACCCTCCTCTCCTGGTGTTGCCCTCTCTTGCTACGGTTCTCCCTCTTCCTCTCTCTCGGTGCTCCCTGTCACATGATACAAGGTGCGCCTACTTTTCATCCCATGCACCTGCCCTCCTCGCCCTGCCCTGTCATCACCAGGAGCACACCATGCGGGGCGCAACGAGGCTCATGGCGAGCAGCCAGCAGGCGTCCTTTTCCGAGATGGCGGCCTCCCAGTGGCTCTCCGTGCGCCTGCAGGTCACGCGCTCCTCCCCTCACATGCACAACCGCACATACTCTCCCCCTTCCGCCCCCCCCCCCTTCCTGTCTTTTCGACCGTCCCCTTCCTGTGGCCTCATCGTGGAACACTTAGCGTGATGATGCCGACCCCCTCATTTCAGGCTCTTCCATGCCCTCTCCGCCCTGCCTCTGTCACTCTTTGTGCTCTACCTCACATCCCTCGTCACCTCACATCCCTCGTCACCTCACATCCCTCGTCACCTCACATCCTCCGTCTCCTCGTGTCCCCCCTTACCTCATATCCCTCGTCACCTCATATCCGCTGTCACCTGAAATCCCGCGTCATCTCATATCCCCTGTCACCTCATATCCCCCGTCTCCTCATGTCCCCCCTTACCTCATATCCCTCGTCACCTCATATCTCCCGTCATCTCATATCTCCCATCATCTCATATCCCTACATTTCCGTTTTCCTGCATTTTCCCCTGTGCGTGCAGCTGATGGCAGCAGTGGTTGTCACATTTGTTAGTGTCACGGGCATCATTACAGGCCGCTCGCTTCCAAAGCTCTTCCTGCCCGGCAACACGGCGCACCAAGCCCTTCCACTCTCCCCTCCTGCGGATTCTCACCTTCCCATTCCTGCTCCTCACCTGCTGGTCCCTGGGGGCAACACCTCCCCTGCTTTCTCTTTTGCGCCTGATCCAGCATCAGCCAACATTACCCCATGCTTTTCCAACTCCGCCCACCCTCTCCTCCCAGCGCTCCAGTCATTCTCGCTCCCCGCCCTCCCCTCCATCCCTCATCACCTCTCATCCCCGCAATCTTCTGCTGGCTCGAGCTTTTCACTCTCGCTTGCTACTTGGCTGGCGTTGCGCCCAGGCAACCGGTCAGGTGCATGGGCAGGCATGTGTTCAGCAGCAGATACATCTGACCGTGCACGGGGCTTGCTGCAGGAACTCAGCAGCATGCCGGTCATAAGCAGCATTATCGCTTTGCTTCGACGGCTGTTCTCGCTATCTCTCTTCTCCCCGATCCGCCTCTTTGGATCTGCCATGACAACAGCAGTCTCCTCTGGATTGGTACGTGTGCCTGCCATGCTTCCCCACATTGGTGAAGAATGAATGAGGGAGTAGAATACCCATACCAGCTACTAAAGCAAGAAAAGAAGAGGGCTATAGTATCTCACTCTGTGAACTACTGGTTACATAACATCTCTCTTTCTTTAACCAACCCTCGCTCTTCTCTTCTTTGACCCTCGTCTCCCTGTCTCTTCCCACACGCCAGCTGGGCTTGGCGCTGGCAAACGCGCTGACCATCGTGTCGCTGCTCGAAGGCACACTCACCTCTCTCATTTCTTCTTGTCGTCTCTCACCCATTCCCCCCACCCTCCCCTCTATCGTGGTGCGTGCAGCTGGGCCTGGCGCTGGCGTACACGCTGCCCATAGTGTCGCTGCTGAACGGCACGCTCACCTCGCTGGCCGACACTGAGAAGGACATGGTGGCCGTGGAGCGAGTGCAGGAGGTGAGAGGGAGCGAGTGCAGGAGGTGAGAGGGTGGACAGGAGGTAGGCATGTGCGCACCGGAGGGTCTTGCCCTATGCCCCCCTGAACGGCACTCTCGCCTCGTCGTAGCTCATGTCCTCATGCCCCGCGCCTCTTGCTGTCTCCCTCTCCCCCCCCCTCAGTACCTGGATCTGCAGCACGAGCCTGACACCTTGGCGCCACGTCCTCTCACTGCTGCACGGGAGGAGGAGGGGAAGGGTGGAGGAGACGCGGGGCATGCGGAGGGGCCAGGAGAGGGTGCAGCAGAGGTGGAAGGGGAGGAGTGGCCAAGGGAGGGGAGTGTGGAGTTCCAGCATGTGAGCATGGCGTATCGACCAGGGCTCCCTCTTGCGCTCTCAGAAGTCAATTTTTACATCCCAGGGGGCTCTCAGGTGAGGCGGCTCTCAGGTGATGGCAGATCCTTAGGGGGCTTTTATGGCGAATGCTCGTGTCGCATTCTTATGACGAATCGATTGGGGGGGGCATGGTTGCACACTAGGGGGGCATGGTTGCATGCTAGGGGGACATGGTTGCACACCAGGGGGGCATGGTTGCATGCTAGAGGGGCATGGTTGCATGCTAGAGGGGCATGGTTGCATGCTAGAGGGGCATGGTTGCATGCCAGAGGGGCATGGTTGCATGCTAGAGGGGCATGGTTGCATGCTAGAGGGGCTTGGTTGCATGCTAGAGGGGCATGGTTGCATGCTAGAGGGGCATGGTTGCATGCCAGAGGGGCATGGTTGCATGCTAGAGGGGCATGGTTGCATGCTAGAGGGGCATGGTTGCATGCTAGAGGGGCATGGTTGCATGCTAGAGGGGCATGGTTGCACACTAGGGGGGCATGGTTGCATGCTAGGGGGACATGGTTGCACACCAGGGGGGCATGGTTGCATGCTAGAGGGGCATGGTTGCATGCTAGAGGGGCATGGTTGCATGCTAGAGGGGCATGGTTGCATGCTAGAGGGGTATGGTTGCATACGTTGGGGGCCAGCCCACCTGCTGGTTGTTTGGGTGATGCTGGGCGCTTCCGTGCTGCTGGGCACTACTGCGGTGCTGGGAACTATCGCGGTGTTGGGCACTACCGCGGTGCTGGGCAGGGCACTACCGCGGTGCTGGGCACTACTGTGGTGCTGGGCCCTACTGTGGTGCTGGGCACTACTGTGGTGCTGGGCACTACTGTGGTGCTGGGCACTACTGTGGTGCTGGGTTGGGCACTACTGTGCTGCTGGGCACTACTGTGCTGCTGGGCACTACTGTGGTGCTGGGCACTACTGTGGTGCTGGGCACTACTGTGGTGCTGGGCACTACTGTGGTGCTGGGCACTACTGTGGTGCTGGGCACTACTGTGGTGCTGGGCACTACTGTGGTGCTGGGCACTACTGTGATGCTGGGCACTTCTAGGTGCCTTGCCAAAACCACTCACCAAACCACTCGGTAAAACCACTCACCAAAAGCGTTCGCCAAAACCATTCGCCGAATGCTTTGGCCAAAACCGTTCGCCAAAAGCTTCGCCAAAACCATTCGCCAAAACCAGTCGCCAAAAGCATTTTCCAAAAGCATTCGCCAAAAGCTTTCGCCAAAACTTTTCGCCAAAACCATTCGCCAAAAGCTTTGGCCAAAACCATTCGCCAAAAGCTTTTGCCAAAACCATCGCCAAAAGCTTTCCCCAAAACCATTCGCCAAAGCATTCGCCAAAACTTTTCGCCAAAACCATTCGCCAAAACCTTTCCCCAAAACCATTCGCCAAAACCATTCGCCAAAACCATTCGTCAAAACCATTCGCCAAAAGCATTCGCCAAAACCATTCTCCAAAAGCATCCGCCAAAACCATTCGCTGAAAGCTTTCACCAAAACTTTTCGCCAATCCCTTTCGCCAAAGGCATTCGCCAAAACCATTCGCCAAAACCATTTGACAAAACCGTTTGCCAAAACCATTCCCAAAACCTTTCGCCAAAACCATTCGCCAAAACCATTCAACAAAACCTTTCACCAAAACCATCGGCCAAAACCATTCGCCAAAGCATTCGCCAAAACCATTCGCCAAAAGCATTTGCCAAAAGCATTTGCCAAAACCATTCGCCAAAAGCATTCGCCAAAAGCATTTGCCAAAACCATTCGCGAAAACCTTTTGCCAAAACCATTCGCGAAAACCTTTTGCCAAAACCATTCGCCAAAAGCTTTTGCCAAAAAGCTTTCGCCAAAAGCTTTCGCCAAAGCTTCTCGCCAAAACCAATCAGCAAAAACATTCGCCAAAACCATTTGCCAAAATCATTCGTCAAAAGCATTCACCAAAACCATTCGCCAAAACCATTCGCCAAAAGCTTTCGCCAAAACTTTTCGCCACAACCATTCGCCAAAACCTTTCGCCAAAACCATTCGCCAAAACCTTTCGCCAAAACCATTTGCCAAAACCATTCGCCAAAAGCTTTCACCAAAACCATTCCCCAAAACCATTCTCCAAAACCTTTCGCCAAAACCTTTCCCCAAGAGCATTCGCCAAAACCTTTCGCCAAAACCATTCGCCAAAAGCTTTGGCCAAAAGCATTCGCCAAAAGCATTCGCCAAAAGCTTTCGCCAAAAACTTTTCGCCAAAACCTTTCGCCAAAAACATTCACCAAAACCATTCGCCAAAACGGTTCGCCAAAACGGTTCGCCAAAACCTTTCTCCAAAACCGTACGCCAAAACCTTTCGCCAAAACCATTCGCCGAAAGCTTTCGCCAAAACCATTCGTCAAAACCAATCGCCAAAACCGTTCGCCAAGACCATTCGCCAAAAGCTTTCGCCATAACCATTTGCCAAAACCTTTCGCCAAAACCTTACGCCCAAAGCATTCGCCAAAAGCATTCGTCAAAAGCATTCGCCAAAAGCATTCGCCAAAAGCATCCGCCAAAACCTTTTGCCAAAACCATTCGCCAAAACCATTCGCCAAAACCTTTCACCACAACCATTTGCCATTCGCCAGAACCATTCACCGCAACCATTCGCCATTCGCCAGAACCATTCGCCAAAACCATTCACCACAACCATTCGCCAAAACCATTCGCCCTTCACCAAAACTATTCGCCAAAACCATTCACCAAAAGCCTTCGCCAAAAGCGTTCGCCAAAACCATTCGCCAAAAGCGTTCGCCAAAACCATTCGCCAAAGCCATTCGCCAACACCATTCGCCAAAACCATTCGCCCAAAACCATTCGCCAAAAGCATTCGCCAAAATCATTCGCCAAAACCATTCGCCAAATCCATTTGCCAAAACTATCCTTTCGACAAAAGCTTTGGTCAAAAGCATTCGCCTAAGGCATTCGACAAAACCATTGGCAAAACCGTTCGCCGAAACGATTGGCCAAACCCATTCGCCAAAAGCATTCTCCAAAAGCATTCGCCAAAATCATTCTTTCCTCAAAACCATTCTTTCTCCAAATCCATTCTTTCGCGAAACCCCTTCTTTCGCCAAAACCGTTCGCCAAAACCAATCGCCAAAATGATCCTTCAAAATTGTCCGCCAGAATGGTTTGCCAAAATCATTCGCCAGAACCGTGGTGCTGGGCACTACCGTGGTGCTGGGCGCTGTCGTGGTGCTGGGCACTTCTGAGGTGGTAGGCACTTCCGTGGTGATGGGCACTTCAAAGGTGTCGGGCGCTTCCGTTGTGCTGGGCATTTGGGTGGTGCTGGCTCTAGTTTATGTTTGAATATTCTGCTGTTCTATATTAGCTTACATTGTTTCTTAGCGTCGGTGGACGGCGTACGGTGGTCGGTGGACGGTGGACGGCGTCCACCGGCGGGAGGTGGACGATGGATGGTGGACGGTGGATGGTGGACAGCGTCCACCGGTGGGCGGTGGACAGTGGATGGTGGACGATGGACGGCGTCCACCGGTGTACGGTGGACGGTGGAGGGTGGACGGCGTCCACCGGTGGTCGGCGGATGGTGGACGGTGGATGGTGGGAGGTGGACAGTGGACGGTGAGCGGTGGGCGGTGGACGGGTGGACGGTGGACGGGTGGACGGTGTACGGGTGGACGGGTGGACGGCGTCCACCGGTGGGCGGTGTACGGTGGATGGCGTCCACCGGTTGGCGGTGGATGGTGGACGGCGTCCACCGGTTGGCGGTGGGTGGTCGACGGTGGACGGTGTACGGTGGACGACGGACGGTGTCCACTGGTGGGCGGTGGACGGTGGATGGCGTCCACCTGTGGGCGGTGGACAGTGGACGGCGTCCACCAGTGGGCAGTGGACGGTGGACGGTGGACGGTGGACGGCGTCCACCTGTGGGCGGACGTTGGACGGTGGACAGCGTCCACCGGTGTGCGGTGGACGGTGTACGGTGGACGGCGGCCACCAGTGGGCGGTGGACGGTGGACGGTGGACGGTGGACGGCGTCCACTGGTTGGCGGTGGATGGTGGACGGCGTCCACCGGTGGGCGGTGTACGGTGGACAGTGGACGGTGTACGGTGGACGGTGTACAGTGGTTGGTGGACGGCGTCCACCGGTGAGCGGTGGATGGTGGACGGCGTCCACCGGTGGGCGGTGGACGGTGGATGGTGTACGGCGTCCACCAGTGGGCAGTGGACAGTGGATGGTGGACGGCGTCCACCGGTGGGCAGTGGACGGTGGACGGTGGACGGTGGACCGCGTCCACCGGTGGACGGTGGACTGTTAACTCCACTGCAGGTTCCTCGAGTGGGGTTTGGGGACTAGTAGTAGTAGGCGTCGTGGCCTCGGACTTAATCTGCATGATTTACTCGGAGCAGTCTGAGCACTCTGAGCAGTTGGTGTCCAGCTAACCTGCCTGGCGTCCGGTTAATTTGGCTGGCGTCCAGCTAACTTGGCTGACATCCAGCTAACTTGCATGGCGTCCAGCTCACTGGCCTGGCGTCCAGCTAACTTGCTTCTTTTTTTACTACCATTTGCTTGGTTTCTCTCAGTTTATGCAGGATGATGGAATAGAGGGGAAGTTGTAACACATACTAGGGTGGCCTGGTTGCGTCCAAGAAGGGCATGGTGGCATACTAGTGGGGTTGGTTGCATACTCGGTGGGGCTGGTTGCACGTCATGTGGACTTGGTTGCATGCTTAGGGGTCTAGTTGCATGCTTAGGGGGCTGGCTGCATGCTTAGGGGGCTGGTATTCCATTTCTGGGAAGGTATGCACTCTCACTGATGACCACTCTCACCTGTGACCACTCTCACCTGTGACCACTCTCACCCGTGACCACTCTCACCCGTGACCACTCTCTCACCTGCTAGCACTCTCACAATACGGTGTTGTTCCATTGTCACAATTGCCATCCCATTCTGACCCTCGTTTGTATGCCCTCCTCCTCTCATGTCTGTTGTTCTGCCCTTCTGCCCACCCGCCTGTCTGCCCGCACACGTGTCTCCTTGTGCATTTCTGGTTCTGCCTGTTTCTATGGTTGCCAGGTGGGCATAGCAGGTCGCACAGGAGCAGGCAAGTCCTCCCTACTGGCCGCTCTCTTCCGCCTACGGCCCCTCACTCCACCCTCCACCACCGTCACCAAAGCCACCAGCAGCAGCAGCACTAGCGGCACGAGCACCACCACGCAACCACGTCACAGCAGCAGCGCGAGTGGCATATTCATCGATGGCGTGGACACGGCGCGTGTCAGCCTTTCCGCTCTGCGCACTGCCCTCGCCATCATCCCACAGACGCCCCTCATCTTCCACGCCCCTATCAGGTACGACCGCGCAGTATCAGGCGATTCCCGTGCTTAGCAAGTGCTGTTTCTGCCTTTCAATGTGAAGCTCTCTTTCTTCGTAACACATTCCCTCTCGCTTTCTGCTGCCTCCGTGCATTCCCTTCCAGGTTGCAGTTCGTTTCCTCTTCTGACACTTCCGTTCTTCACACCCTCCACCATTTCACACCCATGGCTGCGCCAGAGACAATTTGGATCCAGAGGGGAAGCACGCTGACGTGGCATTGTGGGAGGCTGTGAGGAAGTGCCACCTGGAGGCAGCAGTGGGGCGGTTGGGAGGGCTGGATGCAATGGTGGGTGGGGCGGCAGGTCGGCTGTCACTAGGAGAGAGGCAGCTGCTGTGCCTGGCTCGAGTTATGCTCAGGAAATCCAAGGTACGGCAGGAATTGGTCTGGCAGATAGTGGCCAGTGAAAGTGGATGTCATCTGCGTTCCATCCTTTTCTTTGTCTTACAGTCATCTTCTCTGTTGTTCTACTGCAGGTGCTGTGTTTGGATGAATGCACGGCCAACATTGATGGAGCCACCAGTGCGCTCATGCATGCCACCATAGCTCGGGAGTTCCATGGCATCACCACCATCACCATTGCGCACCGAGTCTCGTCACTACTCTCCCTTCCCCGAGTCCTCATCTTTGAGGCTGGAGCTCTTGTACGTAATACCAATGGTGCTCTTTATCTTATGCTGCCTGTCACCCTTTATGGACTGACGCCCTGCTGTTTGTTTGTGTTCATTGGTCGCAGGCTGAAGATGGCGATCCGAAGAACCTCTTGGTTAACCCAGATTCCAGATTCTCATCGCTCTTCAGAGCATCTATATAACATGAGACAGAGCTGTTTATGAAAACATAGATGTACAGCATTTGCACTCTGACACCAAAATTTGGAGGCTGGGAGCAGCCCGCTCCTAGTTACAGCCTAATGAAGGTGGGTGTGCATGTACAGAGACTATGGTAAAGTGAGCATCAATATACAGAAGAATGAGCTGAATAGCCCTCAAACTACTGCAGTCAAGCTTCAAGAATGTGCACGTTTCTGAGAGACAACACGAAGTGTAGGTCAGCCATATGATGCAGACAAGTTTAGTGACGTCACAATGCAGGAGAAATATCTGACCTCTTGTTCCTGTGCCTTGAGAAACGAATATGCCGCCACGCCTGCAATAGCAATTGCTGTCCCAACCCCCGTCTGTCGTGAAATTGTATTTCCTGGAGAGGGGTGGAGACAGCAAGGGAAGAACGTCATTAGGTCAGGGAAATAGTAGAGCCCAGCCGCAAGGCATCATCAATTTGCAGAACTTACCGAAGACAATTATTGAAAACCCGATCACGAAGACGCGTTTGAGAACGTTCCCCACAGCATGGGTGAGTGGTGAGACTCGCTCAAGGGTGTTTGTTGCAAGCTGCAATCGAGGGAAGCAGGGAAATTAGCAGCAAAACGACCCTGAAAAGGAGTAAGCAGAATAAGCCTCTCTCACCTGATTGTACAAGTGATAGAACACTCCAACCCAGAAGAGGTCACTCAAAAACTTGGTCATGCCAACTTTCGCAATCGCATCCGTAAACCCTCCTCCTAGAAGCCTGGGCCCTTCCATCTGCAAAGGACCAAAACTCAGTCAGCAATCTCACGAGACAGAGCAATGCCATGGCCGCAGGGACTACATACGTACCAGAATGGCAGGTGGAATGCAGTAGAGAAGGGAGAGGATGGATATGTAGGCGTAGAGATTTGTGCTGTCCATTCCAACCTGAAAGAAGAGTCAAATAAATGTCAGTCAAATGGCGCCAGAACAGGAGCTTCTGGAAAAATAAAAGGCTTACCATTGCCTTTTTAGAGAAAACATTCCTGTAAGTGAACGAGATGTTTGAAATCATTGCAGTGAGGAAGCCAGTCCAGTTAAAGGATAGCTCAGTTACGGATGCAATGGACACACCTGAAGTAAAAACGACTCAGTTATCAGTGTGATGAAGGGAAGCCAAGGGGTCGAAAGACCTAGGCAGGCGCTCACCGAGGACGACAGGGAGGAGAGAGAGCCACAGAGGAAGTGACACGTGCTGGCCGAGGACAAACTGAGATGCAGCCGCGTTGAAGAATGGCTCCAGGGCTGCACGGAAAAGCAACGCATCATATTGTCAAGGTGTTAGGGGAGGACCAACCGTGTGGGCTGGCTGGTGCTATTAAGACACGAAGGAGAACGTACACTTAACCGTGTGCGTGAAGGACACAGCCACTGATGCGAATGACACGTTGGTCATAACATGGCCGAGTGCGTGGCAGAATGCGACTGGCGCGAGGAGCGCAAGCATGCCCTTATCAATGGGCTGCACAGGACAAAAGAACGTCAGCGTCACAAAAAGAGGGACTATAAACTGCAGAGACAACCTCAATAGTCACTTACAGCACGCTTGGGAAGTCTCAAAGCCCAAGAGATTAAGCAGTAAGTGACTCCAACCGTTAGATGAACAGCAGACACAAAGCTGACGGAAAAAGCAGACGATAGGTATACGCACTGCTGTTAGATAATACGAGAAAAAGAGGATATTTAAACCGGTAATACACCTGGCTATGAATCTCCGTTTCACTCCTTTGTAGGGTAAACCAAGTACATTATGTCGTTAGGTGCCAGCTGAGGGAATAACTACAAATTGCATTGCAGCGAGCACTTACTACGGATAAGGGAAGTAGTTGTAAATTTTCTTGTTCAGAATGTTGAATATTACGTTGAGGAAGTACCTGCACATCGACATTTTAGATTCCTCAGGACAACAGTCGATGACTAACAGTCTCCAAGAGCGAAGGAACGATCTAAATTCGTCTCACCAGAAGAAGAAAAGTGTAGCTGTTGTGAACGCTGGATATCTTTCTGGAATGCTCTGGATTGCTTCCAGTATTCTGAAGCAGATGATCAGACAGAGCCTGTTAGCCACAGTCACGGAAGCTACTACGGAACACACGCAGATTGCTACACGCACCCTCCAGAATGCGGGACGAGATCAGATCCTGCTTCCGCCGCTGCACATACTGTAGATTCTCGTTCTTTAGCGGGCTGCTGACCCGAATGATCGAAACCATTTGGAAGAGCATTGCTTCTGACAACAAGACGTCGCTTTTGGAGAGAAGCCAGGCTACTGGTATGTCCTCTCAGCTTGATTAGACATGGAGTGAGGCATGGAGCTTTCAGTCGAGAGTGAGATATCGCTGGACTCTTGGCGCCAGTCGCTAGCGGCGCCGACCTCAGTGACACTATGGCTGTGACGGAAGTCATGGCTGGGAACACTTGGAGAAGAGGCCAGATTTTAGAAGAAGCCTTGGAGACAGTACCGAAGTGGAGGCATGAAATAAGAAAGCCCCGTGTGTTGCTGAGAGTGGAGAAATTGAGGTTCGCCCTTCTGATGCCACTGAATCCTGATGTGATGATCATGACGAGGCAATATCTCCCACTGTGGCGAAAGCGAAGCGAATTGGGGGATGCAGCCCCCAGCTGTCCCAACCAGCGCAGCGACACGCAACCGTTCCGACATTTCGAGTCAGGGAGGGCGCATCGCTGTCATGTTGTGCTGGCAGGATCATCTACTTGAATGAAAAAGCGGAAGCTTTCTAAGACCGTCACGGCGCTGCCACCGACGTAGGCGTGATATTTGCATAAACGGACAATCAGTTTCATCGCATAAACCAACCTGTACACTTTATCGAATTCGCGTAAGCCTGACTGAAGACACTTGTAGTAGTTGTGAAACTTGTAAGCCAACCCTTGCAAAAACGAAGTGCAATTGGTAGCAGTGCAACTAATAGCGGAGCTTCATAGACACAAAGCTTGCATGGAAGCGCATAAAGATTAGGGTTCCCATAGTGAAGATTATTAGACAGCGCGGTGTAATCACTCGTTAGTGCAGCTTGTGGCATCCCGCGATCCGCACGCCATGGCCCCCGTCGACGAGGTGTTCTCGCAACTGCAGGGCTTCGTCGCGAAGGGCGCAGCGGAGCTCAGCCAGGGAGTGGAGCGCGGCTGGCACGGCGCCGTCGCTCGCTTCGACGCTGCTCGTCGCAACCCCTTGCCGCTCCCCCTCCCTCTCGCGTCTATCGCTGGAGCAGATCGAAGCGGCTCGGGCTCTGATGGGCAAAGAGGTGGATTTCGGTTACCAGACCCGATTAAAGCCCTGCAGGCCGCAATGAGCGGAGGGAGACCGCAGGAGACCCCTCTAGAGCCTAGTGCGGGATCCAGACGGCGGAGAGTGGTCGCCGCTGAGAGTCCATCTGACGGTTTAGTTCTGGTGTCTAATAAGGCGTACGGCGACGGTTCGGCGACGGACGCGCGACGGAATCAGCTGCCGACGATTCGCACGTCCCTGTCGCAGGCGATGGAGGCGACGTATGCAGGCAGGCAGGGCGCGAGGGGAATGGAGGGTGACGTGGACAGGGAGAGGGGCAGGGGGAGGCGCGAGGGAGGCGCGGTGCTGGCCGGGAGCGCGGTTAAGGGAAGGGATGGGAGGAAATACGAGGTGTGATTTTCTCAGACACCCCTACTAGCGCTTTTTATCTATCGTTCCTTATCGCTCCATGCCCCACTCTCGACGTTGCATTCTCGTTACACTGTAACACCATCGTAACACCGCTGTTAGTTGTAACCCTACCTGCGTGTGCGAGCAGGAGCTGGATTACAGCAACGACGAAGATGACGACCTCGCCGCCCTCCTGCGGCCCCCTCCGCCCTCGCCCCTCGCGGCCGACGCCTCTTCACCCATCGCTACCGCTGCTGCTGTGGCTGCAGTGGTGGTTAGCAGCCCAGGTAGACGGAGTCAGGCGGGGCAGCAGCGGCAGCAGCAGGCGGGCAGTGTGAGGGTGGGGGCGGACGGCACGGAGGAGTGGGCGGGTCCTGCTCCGGACTTCCTCAAGAAGGTGCGCTGTTGGGTTCCGCCTTGGGTCCTGCTTTCCCACGACGCCCTTCCCTGTAGCGCTGCTACGAATGCCTCCCCTTCGTCCAGCTGCTGACACCCTCCCTTGCAACCACTCCCATCCCTCCCTCCTTCCCCTCCCCTCCTTTCATGTGTGCGGCAGGCAGCGCAGGAGGCGGGGCCAGCGACGAAGGAGGAGCTGGGGCGCGCCACGTGGACGTTCCTGCACACGCTGGCAGCTCAGGTGCGAGAAGGGGTGATTTGAAGGGGGGGGGGGGGGGAGGTGATGGGAGGGTAGTGGAGGCAGATGAATTTTGTAGGGGAGGAGGAGCAACGTGGGGCTTGTAGAAAGGTGCTGCACAGAGGCTCTCTGCAGTCAGCGTGACTGCACATGCTGACTGACCCAGCTAGTTTCTTAGCAACCTGCTTCTTTGCATTGGCGCACTTGTCCCTGTTCCTAAACCCTGCCTCCTCAACCCCCGGCCCCTCCCCCTCACCTCCCCCCTCCCCCACCCCCCCACTCCCCTCCCTCCTTCGTTTCTTGCAGTTTCCGGAGAAGCCCAGCAAGCAGCAGCAAAAGGATGCCAAAGAATTCGTGAGTTGTGAACCAGCCGCGCCCAGCCACTCCCACACTGCCGACCCATTGCTTCCTCCCCACACCACCTCAGTCTCTTTGATTGGAGTTCATGATTTGACAGTGTGCAGCTTCTGTGTACGCAAACGCGCGTGCATGTGCAGCTTCTGTGTAGGCAAACGCGTGTGGATGTGCAGCTTCTGTGTAGGCAAACGCGTGTGCATGTGCTTGTGCACGCATCTCGTTGCTTTCGTGCACGCCCTCACCCCCAGTGTTCTTCAACTCCTCACTCCTCGTTCTGCAGGTGACTCTCCTCGCCCGCGTCTACCCCTGCAAGATCTGCTCCTACCACTTCCAAAAGATAGTCAAGTGAGGACTTGCATGGCCAAACCCCGTGCGTCAGTGCACATGCGTATGCATCACCCTTGGGGGGCATCACACCTGGGGGGCATCCCACCTGGGGGGCATCCCACCTGGGGGGCATCCCACCTGGGGGGCATCCCACCTGGGGGCATCCCACCTGGGGGCATCCCACCTGGGGGCATCCCACCTGCCAAACTTCCCCCTTTCTACCTGCTGCAGAAGGCCCTGGCTTTCCACTCCGCTCCTTGTTTCCCTGCACATCCCCCCCAACCCCCCTCCCCACCACGCCCCCTTCCCTTTACCACTCCAGGGCCAACCCGCCTCAGGCGGGGTCAAGAGGGGAGCTGGAGCAATACATGTGCCGCCTTCACAACATTGTCAACCGCAGGTGCGTGCTGTGCCCTTGCGATTCATCACACATCGCTGCATCTATTATATGTGTTCTAGTAGCCTGCTGCACCGTGCTCCCATTCCGTCCTCATCGCATGGCCAACCTCTTTTCTTCTCATCTCATTCGCCCTTCCAGTCTCAAGAAGCCAGAGTTCCCGTGCAAGAGGGTCTCGTCCCGATGGGGCTCGCTAGAGTGCGAGGATAACGCATGTGAAGTGTAGAGTGGGGTTGTTGCGAGATTAGGGGGTTGACTGGGCCTGTAAGTAGAGATGATTGAAGCAGTTGTCATTGTCAGGTGGCTTGAGGTATTGTTGGGCTGAGAAAAGCCCTTAGTCTCAAAACTAGAATTGAATGATTGATTAGTGAGAGAGAGTACATGCACATATACCTAAATGTTGTACCCTCTAGGAGGTTACCCTATACGGTCTATACAAACATGATAAATAAACATGTTTGACACACCCCCTGGACTGCATAGGGGAATATCCTAGACAAGCAGCTCAGGGCGGCACTACTAGTCCAGCCTCTGAGACAAGGGTCTAAAAGACCAGTCAGAGGGAGTACACACAAGACAAGAACAAGTACAGGGCGGCACTACTAGTCCAACCACTGTGAGAGGACACAAGTCCAGTCTGAGTGTACACATATATATAGGACAGTACAGAGTCAAGGCCCGAGTAAGTGAGGGACTACAGGAACCAGACCAAGCTGTACACAGTGCCGCTGATGATCTTTAGGCGCAAGCGCCTTCGTAAAGATATCAGCTGTGTTGGCACCGGAGGCCAAGTGTACTACGCGAGCCTGGCGACGCTGCTGTAGCTCGCGCAGGAGGAAGTACCGCAGCTGAATGTGCTTCGCTCTGCCCTCGAGTCGAGGCTCCTGACACAGGAGGATCATGGCCCTGTTGTCAGCGTACAGGACCGGGGCAGAGCTAGGCCGCTCACCTAAGTCAGTGAGCAAGAAGGTCAGCCAGCGGAGCTCCTGTGCCGCCATGGCACCGGCGTAGATCTCAGCCTCACAGCTGGACTGGGCAACAGACGAGGAGCGGGTAGCTCTCCACGAGACAGCACTTGAGCCAAGGCTAAAGCAGTAGCCCTGGGAAGACCTGAGCGTCTCAGCGTCGTCTGCCCAAGAAGCGTCTGTGTGTCCAGTAAGGACCACTGGCCTGCGTCCGCCTAGCACTAACCCCATGCCCGATGTACTTGCAAGATAACCCAAAACCCTCTTAGCGGCAGACCAGTGCTGAGGTCGGTGTCTGCCTGTGGCCACGAAACGAGCCAGGATGCTGAGAGGGTATGCGAGATCTGGGCGAGTGCAAGTCATCAGGTACATGAGGCAACCCACTAGCTCAGCGTAAGGACCACTGGGATCTACGGACTCCTCAGGAACTGGAGCGGAGAGTCTGTGGTCCAGAGGAAGAGGGGTGGGCTGTGCGGAGGAGAACTGAAGACCGAACCTCTGAAGGACCTGGCGCACCAAGTGTGACTGAGTCAGGGTGACGGTGCGCGCGGCTCTGTCCCTGGAGATCTGCAAGCCAAGGTAACGGCGCAGCTCTCCAAGGTCAGTGCAGGTGTGTCTCTTCAGCAGCTCTGCCTTCACGGAGGCTAGTGCGTCCCTGTCAGCTGTGGCAAAGACCAGGTCGTCTACGTAGACGAGGATGTAGAACGGAGTCGGGCCAGCACGAACGAAGAGGGAGGGGTATGCAGAGGACGGAAAGAACTGCAGGTCAGCAAGGGTAGCACGCAGCGTGTCGTGCCACTCACGAGGCGCCTGGCGCAGGCCGTAGACTGGGCGCCGCAGAAGCCACTGGGTCCCAGGGGGGAAAGTGCCAGTAAAGCCCTGAGGACGACGCAGGTAGACCTGCTCGTGAAGGCTGCCCTGAAGGAAGGCAGTGGAGAAGTCGAGGGAGTGAAGCTCGTAGTCACGCTGAGCCGCTACGTGTAACAGAACCCGAAGAGTAGTCATCTTCGGCGTAGGAGCGAAAGTCTGAAAGAAGTCCACCCCCTCGCGCTGACTGAAGCCTCTAGCCACGTAGCGCGCCTTGAACACAGGCGGCTCTCCAGGAGGGCGCTTCACCTTGAAGAGCCAACGGCCATCGACCACGTTCACCCCAGGTGGGGGAACTGCGTCGACGAAGGTGCCGGTGGATCTCCAAGATGCCATCTCCTGTTCCATGGCAGCTATCCACTGAGAGGCCCAAGGTCCCGAAACCGCCTCAGCGTAAGTACGAGGGGTCGGGATGTCGAAAGCGTCTGGGTCACCCTCAGGGACTAGCAGCATGGAACAGAGATGGGGAGCAGCCTCGGACAGGAAAGCAAGCTCAAACTGGCGGTCCTCCAGGACGTCACTGCCGAGGGCAGGAGCACCCCCGACAGACGGAGGACAGGCAGGGTCAGAGACCAGAGCGGAGGCGTAGTCAAGGCGGCGGGTAGAGGCGAAGTCAGCGACCGCAGCGACAAGGGCGTCAAGACTCGACACTGGAACAGACGGGTCGGTAACCAGAGAGGCAAGGACCCGAGGAACAAGAGGACGAGCGGCACGAAAGGAGTCAGACAGAGGAGGAGACGCAACGACAAGAGAGGACGGAGGAGGAGACGGGAGGAGGGGAGGACGAGACGCGTGGGACCGGAGCAACATAGGGTGAGAGCGCGGGACGGGGGAGACAGGACGAGCACGGGAGGGGCGGCGAGACCAGACGTGAGAGGGAGGCGTCGGGTCAGGAGACAGAGGAGGGGACACTGGTGGGGAACGAGGGGGAAAACGAGCCGGGGACGAGTCCGGCGGAGGGAACACGGGGCCGTAGACGGGAAGAGGAGGAGACGGCAGGAGAGGAACAGGCGCAGGGTCAGGGGACGGAAGGCCGAGCAGACGGAGGGCGGACACCGGCGGGGACTGCTGCTGCGGCGACACAACACCAACACCAGGGCCACAAGCTGCGCGACGGCTACCTCCCGAACCCTCCACACCGGCACCCCCAGAAGGGACACCCCCAGGGCCCACAAACAGCGGCAGCGACGACGGCGGCGGCGGCGGCGGCGGCGGCTGCAGCGACGGCTGTGACGGCGGCGGCGGCGGAGACGACGGCTGCAGCAGCTGCGGCGACGGCGGCTGCGGAGGCGGTGGAGGAGGAGACACCGGGGGAGGGACAGACGGCGAGGACTGCACCGGAGGACTACCAGAGTCAGAAGACTCGTCGACCGGGACGACCGACGGGAGGGGGGTGACGTGAGACACACCAGAGGGGGCCGGACGGGGGGGCGGGGGGGGGGGAGGGGCAGGGACCACCGGGGAAGGAGTGACCAGGAACAGGGGGGGAGTAACCGGGGGACCACGGTGGGGGAAGCGGCGGTAGAAGGAGACGGACTCGTCAAAGGTGACGTCGCGAGAGTGAAAGAAGCGGTGAGACGGCGGGTGGTAGAAGTGCCAGTCGGACGCGTCAAGGGGGAAACCGAGGAAGACGCAGGGGAGGGTGCGGGCAGTGAGCTTGTCCGTGCCAGAGGCACGAACGTGAGCAAGGCAGCCCCAGACGTGGAACGCAGACGCGTCACCAGGGGACCCGGTCCACAGAAGGGTCGGCGAAACCTGCGGCCGCTGGGGGTGCGGCCACAGGTTAAGCTGGTGAGCAGCGTAGCGCACGGCGAACGGCCACAGAAAATGGGGTGCACCGGCGTGGATCATGGAGGTGCGAGCCACCTCCATGACCAAACCTATGCGTCGCTCAGCGAACCCATTCTGCTGCGGGGAGTCCGGCAGGGTAAACGTCTGGGTGATGCCCTCCGCACGACAGAAGCGACCAAGGACACCTGAGGCAAACTCGCCATCGCGGTCGGAGTGGAGGTGCAAGGCAGGGAGACCGCGGTGGACACGAGCAGAGACAAGCCAGGGGATGAGAACGTTAGGCACGTCGGCCTTCCGCTCCAGGGGAAAGACGGTGGTGTAGCGCGTGAAGTCGTCGACAAGCACTAGGAAGAAGCGCTCGCGACGCGGCCCATGGACGGGGGCTGGGCCCAAGACGTCCATGTGCAGAGTCTGCAGTGGTGCGGTGGTAGGGGGAAACGAGGAGGAGTGAGGGGCACGGCGGAGCCGGCCCTCGACACAAGGCGTGCACGGGGGGGCGGGGGAGGAGGGAAACTCGGAGAACGAACCGGGGAGACCAAGGACGAGACCTTGCTGGGACATGTGACGCAGACGCGGGAGTGCAGGGTGACCAAGGCGGTGGTGCCAAAGGAGAGTCGGGTGAGTGAGGGACCGACAGGAGCACGCAGCAGCAACCTGGGTGGACGCAGCTACCTGGGGGGAAGACCCAGCCGGGGAAGTCGCGGTGTCAAGTGTGAACAGGCCGGACACCGGGTCCCGGGGGAAAGTGGTAAGGGGGGCACCAGTGGCGGCCTCGGTACAGACAGCATACCGCTCGTGACCAGGGAACGTAGTGGTGACGCCAAGGTCCTGGAGGCAGCCGACACCAACTAGGTTCCTGGAGAACGAGGGGAGATGCAGACCTGTGAGCGAACCTGAAGGAACCGCCGGACAGGGAAGGGAGGTGGAACTGCGGGCAACGACTGGACCACCGGAGGGGTCAGCAAGAGTAACTGCAGCGGGAACAGGCAGCGGCGTCAGCGTCATGGAGTCGCGGAAGAAACACCGGGAGGCGCCAGAGTCCAAGGTGAAGGAAAGCACAGCAGTCGCGCGAGGCGGCAGAGAAGCGGTGGAAGCACCGAGGCTAAGCAAAGCAGGAGATCCTACGCCTGACGCAGCAGGGGAGTCTACGCTAGGAACATCTACGCTAGGCAACACGGGGAAATAAGAGGGAAGCACACTAGAGTCATCAGCATACATCACATGCAAGGCTGCTACAATGGCATCCATGTCCAAGTCAAAAATCTGAATGCTACGCCTAAGCAAGCTGTGCCAGTCCGGGAGGTCGGGCGCCGGGCCAAAGCGCTGACGGAACAGGTTGTCCAGACGACGAAAACAGCGAGGAGTGGAATGACCGATCTTACCGCAAACGAAGCCGCGGCGAGGACCGGTCTGGATCTGGTACTGACAGCGCCCGCCTCCAGAACCACCACCCGGCGCACCACCACGCGCACGACCACCACCAGCTCCAGGCCACCCAGGCGGGAGGGCACTCGCCTGCCTCGTCTGCGGCGGGTGCTGCAGCTGCTGCGGAGGCTGCGGCTGCGGCGACTGCTGCTGCTGCTGCTGCGACTGTGGAGGCAGCGGGGCAGCTGGACTGGGCAGGGTCCCCACGTCCGCTCCAGCACCGGACGACCCGACTCCACCACCACCCCCACCTGCACCCCCGCCGCCTCCGCCGCTCCCAACCTTGGGGCGGCGGCCCTTCCCCGAGCGGGACTGCACTGCAGCAGCAGTCTCAGCCACAGCGACAGAGCCGTCGGAGAAGGTACACTGAGCGGGGGCACAA